CTCTGAGAGGGGAAGCACTGCGAAGCTAAAATGGTTACGAGGAGATTCATTTCAACGGGGGGGATGGTCCGCGTTGCACGCACAGGTGTGCGGGTCTAAGCAGTGTTAAGGGGCAAGTGAAAGAGATCTGAAAAGTTGATCAAGCTTCAAGGTTCAAGACACAAGAGGATGAGGAACAGGAAGGTGGAAGCTTGCAAATGAACATGGAACATGCACACACAGACACACGAGTCACGACACAAGTGTGAAGTGAAGTCAGAGAACAGAGTATAGAGAGAGCGAGCCCGAGCGCCGAGGCGAGCGCGCGGCGCGCGCGCATGTGCTCGTTCCAGGCCTCCTGCGTCCTGGTCCTGCAGCTGCACGCGCTGCACTGTGCACAGCCTGCACGCTGTAGGTCGCGTGCCGCAACCCGCGCAACGCGCAGCGTGTCGGAACGCACACCTCGACCACACGCACACCACACACGTGTGGGCGTGTAAAGTACAAAGAACAAGGCGGCAGCTCGGTGCGACCACACTGGCCCAGTTCTCGTGGTTGGCAGGTCGATCGAGCTAGACCTGCACACAGGAGGCTCCATCCAGCCTCCAGGGGAGACATTGTGAGACCAAGCCAGACAGAGTGCGAGTTGGCATACAGATCCCCCACGCAACAGTCACAGCAAGGCTCTGCACAGTAACGAGGCTCAGGAGGGGACGGCTAATCACCGCCTGACGGCCCTGCCCCTGGCTGGTTCAGCGCGGCCTTGCGCAGTGCCGGGCGAGAGCGAGGCTTCCGCAGCGTCGCCACCACCACCAGCGCGACTGCGAAAGCAGCCCCGGCGCAGGAGCCAACAATCACGGCAATCGGCGCCGGTTGGCTGCGGCGGAAGGGCGGTGTCAACTCTGGGAGGCTCGTGACCTGCACGTCAAGGAAGGTGGTGGCGGCCTCAGCGCTCGACAGCACGTCGATTATCTTCGCCTCTATTGCCTCGATCGCACTGACCGACGCTCCCTCGAGGTAGACTGTGACGAGGGTGCTGTTAAAGGAGCTGCCCTGAAGCCGCCCCTCAAGCCGCCGGTGGCGTCGAATTGGCGTCGAGCACTTGGCGTCGCAGTTGATCGCCTGGGCTCGGGCGGCGAGTCGATTGCACACACTGCGTCGAAACTCTTGCTCACAAGAAGGTGTGCTGATAGCCGCCCTGAATGATACCATCACGCAGCGATCACTGGACTGGCCGGTGCAAATTTCCGCCCGAGCTTGCGGGCAGGCATAGATCGGCGGCCATTTCATCTTGCACTTGTAATCGTTCTCCGCCTGCTGGGCCAGCACGCACTCTGCCACATAGGTTTGCGTGCGCACGTATTTGGTCTCGCACCGTCTTCGCCGTCCCGGCGTGCTTGGCCCGCTGCGCCCCCCAGCATCTCCGCACCAGGAACACTTGCCACCCGGGCAGAGGCTGGTTTTCGTGTCCGTGAAGGGCTGGTCGAACCCGCACGCCGCCTCGCCTGTCGGTGGTGACGGCGACGGCGGCCAGCTGCACGTGTTCAAGCAGCCGGGGCTGGAGGCGGCGACGAGTGGCAGCACGAGGTAGGTTAGCCGCATGCTTCAACAAAAGCGTGTGGCTTGCCGAGCCGACGAGCGACGGTTACGCCGGCCGGGCGGACACTGAAATCGAAAAGCGCTCGCAAAGTTGTTGAGAGGTTATTCCCACCTGCAGTCTAAGCAGTCTATTCACAGTCTAGGCAGTCTGAAGCAGTCTGAAGCAGTCTGATGCAGTCTGACCCAGTCTGAAAACTTCACAGACTGCTTAGACTGCAAGTGGGAATAACCTCTGAGACCTTGGAGTGCAGAAAAAAGAAAAAAGAACGCCCTTCCTCACGAACACCGCACGCATTCGAGTGCCCTGCCTCTCCAGGGCAGCCAGTCTCTACCAGTGCTGGTGCGGTCCACCAGCTGCCTACCACCAGCGTTGCAGAGGTTTTTCGGGTGGTACTCGAGATTCGCGCGCAGCGCACTGAACGAATTGCATGCTGCACGGAGAGCATGCATCCGAAAGTAATTGTCGTTGGGTAAGTCCCGTCCTTCCCAATCAAAGTCGACCTCAAACCGCACCGTGTCGTAGATCTGGCTGAGTGCCGATCGAAGACTGCTCAAGTATGCAGGCCGCCTCTCGTCTGTCATTACGAAGATGCGACTCGAGTTGGTCGAGCGCTGGAGGCTGGCGGCGTTCCGTGCGACTGCCGCCACGTCTGTGCAACCAGCAGGGTAACGCCCTTCAGTGATCATGTCCCCCATTCTCAAATGCATGCACGCGTTGGGGCAGCTTTGGTCATCAGCGCAGGACGCGTAGCGACCGAAGAGATCAGCGATAACGTCCCCACCAACCCGAAGGGCGAGCGCGGACAGCTCCCAAGTGAAGGCTGGTATCAAGCGCGCGTGCGGTGCGGTCGGTGAAGCAGCCGTGCGCGAGGCAAACTCCGCATGCAGGTCCGACCAAAAGTCCCGGCTCGGGAAGCTCAGCTCCAACACCGGGACCTCCCCATCGCGTTGCAGCAGCCACTGTCGCATGTAGGCGCCGTTGGGGACTTGGTCTGACAGCCGCTGCACGCGCCCGTCGGTTGGCGCTGACCTTGTCAGCGTCGTGGGGTCGATCGTCCAGTAAGTGTCCCACCACAGGGATGCATCCACGCGGCGGCCGTCATTGTGCGACTCGCTCAGAGTCTCCCGTGGCGGAGGGACGGCAGCAACGCAACCCCACATCGACGCAAACGCGGCACAAGTTGCGAGCTTGCCCGTGATGTCGCCGATGCCCGCGCGGCCAAACATGCTGCGGTCGAACCGCACGTAGCATCGCGGTGGCGGGTGCGGTGAGGGAGGTGATGCGGGAAGCGGTGTGGGTGCTAATGCAGCCACCAGCGAAGTCTGACTTAAGCTGTCAGACTCTTCGCACGCCGGAGCAGAGGCACGCCCGGCGCCACAGTTGAGCATCCCCCCCGTCTCGTCACACTGGCACCGCTCGCTCGCCTCTGCGCCCGTCCGCAGCTCCAAGGGAGGGCAGACGCCACACAGCTCCTCTGACGCACAAGCCCCGGTGCAGACCACGAGCTCGGTCAGGTCGCGATCTCGGCGCGACTCGTGCACCACGTAGTGAGACGTCTCAGCCCTGAAGAGAATAGAGTCGTATCCCCGATTGACCGCATCGGCGCACCAATGCGCGTCACCTATGGCTCAAAGCTCAGTGTTCAGTCCTGTACTCAGGGAGGGCGGACGCGGCGCTCCGTTGCAGGCCGTAAATGCTGCCAAAGAACTCGGAAGCCGTGCTGCGGCTGTCGAAGCGCAAGGCGCGGCCGACGTTGACGAAGACGCCCGTGCCGCTGGCGACGAAGAACCAGCATCCGTACGGAATCGGAGTCTCGTCATGACGGTAAAATTGCCTCACGGCCGTCAATCCCTCGCAAGAGTGCCAGCGGAGCCGTCGGCAGGAGCGGCCCCAACGCGTCACCTCCACCCAATCTCCGTCTCGAATCTTCTTACTCCGGTGAGTGCTTCCGTCGTCGCATCTGCGCGGGTTGTACAGCAAGCTTCCCTCGTTCGAGGCCCACCGTGTGGTGCCTCGCGCGCGGCTCACGTTGCCGCTCGCAATCTTGCTGCAGCAGACGTCACCCTCAGCCCCAAAGGCAAAGCATTCCTCCGAGTCGGGAAAGAGCTCATGGACGTGGGCCCGGGCGGCCTCATCCTGCAGTGAGGACGTCGAGTACACGAGCTCCTTGGTGCACATATCAACGTCAGCCCCGATCCCATACACCTCCTCGACGTATGCTCGGAGCGGCGTCTGGGGTTCCGGCTGCATTCCATTGTCGACTACGCGGAGCAGCTCCACCGCAATGCGGTACGGAAGGAGCAGACATAGCACACAGAGGAGGCACACCAGCAAGCACTTGAATGCGCGGCAGTAGGGCACCACCTCAACAGCAGCTGCGAAGGTGCTGGCGTGCTCTGGACTGCGGTGACCGGCAGCCACTGCAGCGGCCACTCGAGACTCCAAGGGGCTGTAGCGCTTGCCCTCCTGCTTCACCACCGCGCGGCCGCCCGTGGCAACGGCGCGCATATCGTGCTCGGAGCGTGCTCGCACGCTGACACTCCGCGGCGGGCGCTCGGCGCAAGTTCACAGCCTTGTTATTCACAGACCTTGTTATTGAGAAGAAAATACGTCCTATGGCGCTTTGCGCTGGTCTATGAGAGGTTGAGGTGCGAGCCCTGGAGGCCCTGGGGATGGGGGGAGACTACCCGCGGGCCTAGAAGGCCCGCGCGCAGGGGGGTGGGACATTGAGTGAGATAGATTGATTGAAGGCGGAGGTGGAGGCGGCAGGTGCTTGCTTGGCGGGTGCGGCTGGGAGCGGCTTTGGAATCAGGACCCCTCAGAATGGGGTCTACGAAGAGGGGGTGGCTTTGGTTGGTCACGATCGGGACGGATGACACGTCTGATGCAGACATGCGGTCACCCTCGATTCCTGTTTGTTGAATGTTGATCCCCTCTTCACAGTAGGGTGATAAGAAACAAGAACCTCGCATTCACAGCGCGGCAAACCTGGACGCGGGAGGGCTGGAGGCATGACGGAGGCTTGCGCCGCGAGCCAGCCGCGAGCCAGTATTGTAGCGAACGCGCGCTCTCTAACCATCGTTTCCTGAAAGAGCGGCCCGGAGTCGACGCTCTCTCGCAGCTCGGCCCGCCGTCTTCATTGTTGTGCTGTGGGAGAAGCAGGCCACTGTGCGAACACCTGTGCGCTGCAGTGGGCACGCTACTCACACGCGCTGTGTGCGCGAATATTTTTTCTTGATAGAGAACGGCATTGCTTTTAGGTGGGGCCTCGCCGCAAACGCCTCCTCCCACCCTCCACCCGCGCCCGCAGCCTCCTCCGCACACACACACACACACACACACCGCCGCCGCACGCCTCGTCTCCCATGGACCCAAACCCGAGCCGCCCTCCCCGCCGCGGCTGCTCATCGCCGGCGCTTGCAAACGAACACTACAGCAATCACACCACCCTGCACGGTCGTCTGCGTTCCTCCCGTTTCGTAGATACAGCAAAATGGCGCCTACCACGACCGAGACCATGATCATCGTGCGCGCCCGGCCCCCGATCCTCCTCCGCTGCACCTGGATAGCACGTCGCCACCGCTCGCCGCCGCCTCGCCTCGCTTCTTGACCGCCGCCATCGACGCCCGACCCCCGATTTCATCGCCGGCCAAGCCCCTTGCTGCCCTCACCGCCGCTTCCCTCGCCCCCGCTCCCCCGTCCCCGCCACCGCGATCCCCCTTTGATCCTTTGCCATAGATGAGCCCCGCCGCACCCATCACCCGTTTTCCCCCGCCCCCCCCCTATGAGAGCCCCCCCTCGCGAGATGGCCCCCCCACCCGCACCCATTCCGTCCCCCCCCCCCCCCCCCGGCCCCGCGCCCGCAGGAGATCGTCGACGAGTCCCTCGAGGCCGCCGGCATCAGCCTCCCCTACATCAAGAAGCAGCTGGGTGACAAGTACCCCGAGGACTTTGGCGAGATGAACCCGAAAACGGCAAAGAAGGCGCGTCGCCACGCGTCGCCCCTTGTATTAGCACCGAGGTTTGGGGACATGCGCCTGTGTGTGTTGTGTCGAACAGGTGGTGAAAGCCGTGAAGTCCGCGGAGGCCAAGTCGCTGATTAAGAAGGCGGCGCGCGGCGAGAAATGGCGCACGATCCAAACCATTCCCAAGGGCGCGAAGAAGCAGCCGGCGGCCAAGCCGCAAAAGAAGAAGGTCAAGGCGGCGGCCAAGGAGCCCGAGCCGGTCGTCGCGGACGAGTCCTCGGACCCCGACGAGGAGGAGTGAACGATGCGCTCGACGCCGAGTCCCAATCCGTTTGACCGTCTCATGGGTTGGCTCTCAGACTCTCGCGAGGTGAGGGCCCAGCGTGGGAAAGGTGGGCGCGCCGCGCGTGCCCCCCCGTTTTGTGCTCGGTCTTTGTCTTCAAAAGGAATCTCCTCCGCGTGTCGTTTCACTCCGCAGAACGTTTCGATTGCGCAAAGGGACGCGCGTCGCGTGATTTGGGGCCGTTCGCTCAGATAATTTGCGGGGCATGTGGGACTGGGTGGGGGTGGGGGTGGAGCGCACAAACGCGCCGCTCGTTGGCGACGAGACGAGAGATGCGCGCACTCTACCACTCTCCCAGGCGGAACGGGCGACGTGACCGAATCCATCCGTCCTTGCGGTTTTGTGTGCAGGACCTCGTCGCCAGTTTTGCCGTCCTTCGTGAAGCCATTTGTTGAAAGGCTGGCCGCTGTTGCTGGGCTGAGCCGAAGGTGCTCTGTACACATCGTTGTGTGCTCATGGATCAGGATCTGGCAAAACGGCCGCGCGTGTGACTCACGCAGTGCATGCGACCCGCGCTTCCGTAGCGCCTCGGGGTGCCACTAGACTACGGCTTGCACTGGCCACTGCGTCGCGACCGACCTCGTGGCGGCGGCGGCGGCGGCGGCGGCGGGAGAGGCAGGGGCCAATAAATATTTGAGGAAACGCCGCAGAGCGCGCCCCGCCGCGTCGCAGCGTTCTGGCCTCTGCCTTGCGCAGCGCTGATGCGATCGCGTCCGCGCCGTATGGCTCCGCGCTTCGTTTATTTGGGACTGACAATCAAACACAACCCCCCCCCCCCCCTCTCTCTCTCTCTCTCTCTCTCTCTCTCTCTTGGGACTGGCGCGCACTGGCACTAACACTCGAAAAAAGAATTTTACTAGGCCTAAAAGTGCCTTGTTATTGAGAAGAAAATACGTCCGATGGCGCTGTGCGCTGGTCTGTGAGAGGTTGAGGTGCGAGCCCTGGAGGCCCTGGGAATTCACAGAAGGTTGCCCCATAGGTGATCTGTGATCTGTAAGGGTCCGCCCGCAGGCGCATTTTGTATACCGAGGAGGGGCCCGGTGCCGAACCTGTCGGGCCTTAAGACAGCATTGTAGATCCCTGGGCGAGGGTGGTGGAGAGGGCGGTCTGTCGGCGCGCTAAACCGTAACCCGCCGGGGCGGGCCGGATCCACGCGCTGTCGGACCGCCCCGTCGGAGGTAGACCGCTCGTCTAGCCAATCAGCCTTAAGCGAGCGGTCTGGCCGTTGGAATGGCCGAGTTTGGTGTGGACGTGCGTCCTCGCATCGATCGTGGTTACAAGTACAAGTAGGTGGCGTTATGAACAACAAGCACCACTCAGGGAGGCGGCTGTCTCCGCAGGCGAGCCTCAGTTACAAGCCGCCTCCCCTACTTGCCTCTCTCTCGTCTCTCGCCCTTCGTCTCTTGCGCGCTTGCTGTCCAAGCCTTGCCCCTCGCTTGTCGCTTTCCCGCACCCACCCCGGTGGGGGGGCGCCTTCGTGTCTTTCGTCCCCTGCAGTGCTGCGTGCGCGCTCCTCCCCGTACGTCATCGGCCCCCTGTCCTCTGTTGGCTCGCCCCATCTCCCTGGCTCACTGAGTCGCTACGCTCGTTCTCAAACCGCCCCCGCTTCCTCGGTGAATGGGATGTCTCGTCCTCTGGCTGTTCTTCGTCTACGTCCATCACTGTAAACTCGTCGTCTGCCTGGCTGCCATCGTTCGGATGGCCCGTTTCGGGTGGTTGCTCGCTTGGTCCTGGCTCTGCTGCGCGGTCGGGCATCTCTTCGTACTCGCTCCCCGCGCCGTCGTCGGCTTGGCCGGTGGGGGGGGCCCTGGTTGCACCCCCGCTGTGCCCGAGAAGCAGCTCGAGCCTCAGTCGGTCCATGAATTGTCGCGCCGAGCGGCGATTGTGGCTCGATTGTCTCCTCCTCGAGGCGCTGTGGCTGCCCTGGGCTGGCTGCTCTGGCTCCCCTCGCTCTCGCCCCCCTGACTCCGCTGGCTGTACTGACTCTGGTTCCCCCCGCCCTCCGCCTCTTCCTCCGTTGCCACGTCGGGAAGCTCGAAGAACGCATCGTCGATAAATGCCATCTCGTCGTCCGCCGAGGCGCTTTTGTCTCTCTCGTCGTCCCCCTCGTCGTCGCACGTCTCGCTCTCCGGCGGTTCGCTCTCCATCGAGTTCGTCGTCCCGCCTTCGGGCGCTGGATTGTGGACGGCCTTGACGTGCTCGGCCGTGTTCCACGGCTCGACCCCGGTTCCCTGCGCACCGCGCACCGCGTCGAGGGTCCGTTGTGACACTTGCCTCTCGCGCCCGTGCCGAAACCGCAGTAGGCTGAGGTGCCCGATCTGGTAGGCCTTTGTGCCTTTGAGGGCTCGCGGGCCTCTCGGCACCCCCTTGTCGGCCCTCTGCTTGCGTGACTTTGGGGCGTCTCCTCGTTGCTGCCCCTCTCTACGCCGCTCGTCTCGTACCTTTACGCCGATGATGATAAGAAACAAGAACATCGCAGACACGAATGGGGTGCTAAGAAACAAGAAGCGGCAGTGTCAGACATTCACAGAAGTTTGTAGGTATTGACAAGAACAAGAACCTCGCATTGGACATAGCCTGCTATGAAGGTTATCCTTTAACGTGAGGAGAGGGGAACAGCAAGCATATCAAAACGTAAACGCCGAAAGCACGCGTCGGGCCGTCGGCTCGCAGCTTTGGGCCGCTTGCTCAACCCCATCGTCCGAGTCGTGCGCAATCTCGCGTGATGACATCTCGCCCTGATCCCATGCCAGTGGGGCAGGCGCATCATATCGTCGGCGATGGGCCCTCTCGAGCCGACGTTCCGCCGCACCCAGACGTTCCGTCACAATGCCGCCGCATATGCCGCCGCAATGTCGATTGCAATGCAGGCAGCGCAGGAACCGTACTGGTGCGGCAAGGAAGAGGCCGGCCCACACGGGCAGACCTCCACTGGGGCCACGTGCAAGACAGTATGCAACGTGGCGCCCAGAGAGACAGCTCCCCAACCCGCCGCCGCCAAGGCATTGGGCCTGAGGTGGTCCGTGGCGTGAAGCCAAGGCCGCGCCATGGCGTCCACACAGTCGGGCGTCCACAATGTGTGACGACCCCATCGTGGCGACCACAAAGAGGCGACCACTGTGGCGACCAGCGGTACGCCAAAGGGTGCTAGAGGCGTGTCTGGGTAAGCCGAGGCTTGACAGCCACCTTCGAGGCCTCGTGGCCACCTGTGAGGCTTGTGAGCCATCTCGAGCGAGCCTACATGGGCGGTGGGCGCGAGGAGGCAATGGACCTCTGACGCATCACAGAGCTCGAGATGACAAGCGTGGCGGAGCTGAGCAGCACAGCCTGTACAGGCGCTCGCCCTGCCAGCCCGCCCCGCCCTCGCCCCGCCCCCCCGCCCGCCCGCCGGTGGCGGGCCCGTCCTGGCTGTTCCCTTGCAGAAATTGGCACTGGACGAGAGCTGGGGCGGCGTGAACGTGACATACCTAAGCTGGGGCGGCGTGAACGTAACAAGGTGCACCCAGTTACCGCTGAGCCGCGAGGCGAAGGCAACATGTTCTGGGGTGGGGGCAGGGTCGACCGGGATCCCCACACCAGACATGGGTACCAAGGTGCACCGCATCCCCTGCTGCTCCTCTGATTTTCGGGGATTTGTCCCGGCCGGTTCCCCCAGTCTCTCGACCATGAGAGGAAAGACGTCCGGCGGGCCACATGCGATGGGATCGATGTGCGATTGGAGCAGCAGCTACACGCCGGGGGCAGCTACGGCCGCCACCTCCTACCGGCCGGCGACCCCAATTGTCGATGGGCCTTTATGAGACAACCTGGGACTCTCCACTCCGGCAGCCGGCGCGATGGGCCTGTTCGAGCGCCGACGCCGGGGTCGTGCGGCGATGTGCCTCGGGAGCTCTCCAGGACGCAGCTCTCGGGGCACGCCAACCCAGGAGATTTAAAGGACCAATCAACAAATACAACCAACGATCAGCTGGAGAACTCGGACGCGATGGATAATAGGAGTTTTAGAGGACGACAGGTCGACAGCGTGCAAGGCCAAGGCGAAGGCCCCCACACATGCCACAAGCACAACGAACTTCACAACGACTCTGTGGTGATGGAAGAGGGGACATGCAAAGCAAAAAGAATGGACGCTTCAGGCATATTAGCTATTACCCGCCATGGAATTATGGAGGACTCGCGCGCCACTCGCGTCGTAACAAGCATGCACGTAGCATGTTCGACTGAGACGTAGATACACACAGCCCCGTTCTGCGTTCACGAGGGGAACCCCTTGGCGTACCGCCCCTCGTCCCGGACCGGGTCCATGTCGGGGCAGCCCGTCAGACCGACCAGGCCCTGCTTGTACTGGCGGCCCTGCAGGCTGTTGTACGCCTTGCCGTAGCTCGGCCCCATGAAGTCGTCGTGGAACTGGTGGTAGAGCTCGGCCGGGTAGAAGGGGTACCTGCACCGCGGATTAGGGTGGGTGTGGCTGTTGCGAGCGTTTGGCGGGCGAGCGCGCGACCGGGTGGGCAGAGACCCGACTGCGCGACCAGCTACCGCCTCCGTCCGCACACTCCGATCTCGACGCGATATCCCCGTGTCTCGGCGTGATCTCCGCAGAGTTTTGGCTCACTTGTCGCTATCGTACACCAGCACCGCCTTGTCGCCGATGGTGTCGGGCTCGTTGCCCCTGCCCGCGTACAGCTTCATGCCGCCTTGGCTCTCGAGCGCTGCCTGCTTGATGACGGGGAAGAGCGGCGAGGCCTGCCCGCCCGGCAGACCGAGCACCTTTGGGGATTCTCGAGTTGGTTGGGTCGGTTTACACTAGGTGGGCACAGCTCTATGGCGGCACCGAGCGGTACTCTCCGCCGCGGTCCTGGGGGTCGTGCCGGTAGCCGCGGCTACCGAAGAGGTCAAAGTACCTAATCGCGACAGCGCAGCGTCAGGCGGCGCCGGCCACGGCCCAGCACGACAAACTGCTCCGTGCGCTCGCTTCTTCGCAAAGCGCGGCACGGCAGACGTCGGAACCTCCAGCTGAACGGCCTCGGCGTGGCCAAGCGAGCCGTAGTCGGCCACGCCTTTAAAGTTGTGGTAGCACACCTTCCCGTCCTTCAGCCCGCCGCCGAGTGTGCCGCCTGCGTAGCCCGTCCGCGCAGTGATGCTCTCCGGCCCTCGCTGCAGCGCGGCGACCTCCTCGCCCACAAACTCGTGCTGAACGTGCCAAAAGCAACCCGCGCCGAAGTAAATCTTGACGGTCGGGTCCGCGGCGGCATTGGCAGCATCAGGGACGACGGCCGCGACCGCGGCGCTGCCGGCAAGTCCAATTGCGCTGCGCCGGCCAATGTGCCGCAGCGCGGCACACTTCGCGGTGGCGGTGGCTGCGATCGCCAGAATGGCCGACGCTTGCATGGTGCCAGCGAGCCTGGCGAGTAGCCCACGCACGCTCTCCTCGGAGAGGTACCCTGTGGGTGGGCGGAGCGAGCCGAAGACGCGCAAAAAAGTATTCAGCGCGCACTCTGTGGTGCCTTTCCACGATAATAAAACACGTGTGTTATAATAAAACACATAAAACACGACACACGACACGACACACACCGACACCGCCGCCCTCTCAGCTCTCTCTCTCTCTCGCACACACACGTCGGGTCTCTGGTCGTCGAGCTCAAAGTGTCGGAGCCCCCGCATGGCACGACCACAAAGTGAACGACCCGCATGGGCGTCACTCGACGCAGGGCGCATCCTCCACGAAGAAGGCGTCCACGCGCTCCAGTAGCCGCCGGCGTTTTTGCTCGAGCTCCTCGGCCGCCTCCCACTCCTCGGAAGCGGTCGCCTGGTCGGCCGCTAGCCGCAGCTCCTCCGCCTCCTCCCAGCTCTGCATCGCGGCGGCGGCCGCCCGCCGGCGCGCCTCGAGGATGTCGGCGAGCTCGAAATCCTCCACGCTGACCGCCTCGTCGATCCGCGCGTCGAGACGCACAACCTCGGCCTGCAGCGCCTCGAGCCGGGCCGCGCCGCCCGCGCCCGCGCCCGCCACGCTCGCTGCTCTCCCTTCGAGCAAAGAGCCGCTCTCCTCCCCGCCCTCTGCCTCCGCCTCCTCTGCCGCCCGCTCCACGTCCTCCTCCTCCGCGGCGTCGGCGGCGGGAGCGGCGGCCTGCTCTCCGACGACGCAGACGACCCTCCCCTCGGCGACGCGCAGCCGACAACGCACGGCGGGCTCGGCGCACCCATCGCACGTGCCCTGGTCAGCCCTGTGCGAAACTGCTGAGTCGCCGCAATCCGACTTTAGGCTTCCTCCGCCCGCCTCCTCCTCGCCCCCACCCCCTGCGCCGTCGTCTTCCGCGGCCTCGGCAGCCTCCACCGCCTCCTCCACCGCCTCCGGCTGCGGCTGCACCTCCACCCCGTTCTCGCCCCCGCCCGCCTCCTCCTCCTCGCTGGCATCCTCCTCGCTCTCCTTCTCCTCCGCCTCCGCCTCGCTCTCCCGCAGCGCCGCCGCCCACACCGCGCCGTCCCTCACCGCATCCTCGGCGTCCTCCCCTGCCCGCGCCGCCATCTCCGCCTCCTCCTCCGCCTCCTCCTCCGCCTCGGCCTGGGCCTCCGCCTCCGCCTCCGCCTCGCCTCCCTCGAGACCGAGCCGCCGCCGCACCACGGCCCACTCGGCAACCACCGCGGCATGGTGCGCCACCAACAGCGCCGGCGCGCCCTCCGTGCAGCCGCGTTCGCCACTGTCGTCGCCGCCGCCCTCGCCGCCGCTACTCTCGCTCGCCGCAGCGGTGCCAGAGAAGGCCGCGAGCTGCGCGCGCGCGCCCCTCAAGTGCCTGCGCAGCGTGTCGCAGAGAGCGCGGTCGAGGCTGCGCCGGCAGTCCGCGGCGTCCGCCGCAGCCTCGATGCGCGCCGCATCGAGGACCCGCAACCCGAGCTTGGTGGCCGTCAGCTCGGCCGCCGCCGTCTCCCGCTTCGCCTCGAGGGCGTCCGCCCTGGCGGCCAGCTCCTTGATCTCTGCAGTGAGCCGGCCCGCCTCACGGAAGGCGCGCGATGCCACCGCGAGCGCCTTCTGCTCGGCCAGCTCTTGCGCCTGCGCCTGCGCTGCGGCCGCGGCCTGGCTCGAGCTCGCGGCCTCCGCGGCGAGGGCGAGCGCCGCGCTGCCCGCCGCGTGGTGCGCCGCGTCTACTGCGGCAGCCTCGGCCGCCGCCGGCGCTGCTGCCGCCTCCGCACGGGCGAGCGCCTCTCGCCACTCGCGCCATGCTGCGCTGGCGCGGCGCAGCGCGGCCGCCTCAGCCGCCGCCTCGGCTGCCGCCTGCCCCGCCGCGTCGTGCCGGCCGCGCAGCGCACGGACCCGCTCGCGGCTGGCGCGCGAGGCGGCGGCGGCGGCGGCGCGCTGCGCACGCAGCGCACCCGCCCGCTCTCGCAGCTGCTCCTTCTCGGTGGCGACCCGCGACGCTGCGTGCGAGATTGTCTCGCGGCGGAGCTCGAGCCGCGCCTGCGTGGGGAGGAGACAAGAGGCGTGAGGGCCTCCCCCTGGGGTACCCTCTCCCCCTGGGACACCCTCTCCCCCTGGGAGTGCCGTCTAGGGAGGGGTAGAGCGGGGCGGCGATCAAGCGAGCGCACAGCGCCTCCAAGCTGCACGCCGCCATCCGAGTCAGACCGGCAGGGGTGCGTCATCACATCGAGGTATCTAGGCAGCTGCGCCGTGGGCTTGGAGAAGCCGCCGCGCACCGCCTCGATCCGCTCCTCGGCGGCGGCAACCTCGGCGTCGCACGCCCGCACCGCCGCCTCCTCCGCCTCGAGCAGCGCGCGCAGCTCCGCCGCCCGCTCCTCGTGCGCCCCCCGCCGCCCGAGCGACTCGTCCCGCGCGGCGACGTCGGCGGCCGCCGCCTCTGCAATCTGAGCCTGTGCCGCACGGCACGGACGTGTCAATGGACAAGTGCACGGCGTGGTCGACGGCCGCCTCCGCTGTCTGCGCCTCGAGCGCCTCCGACCCCGCGCGGGCCTCCCGCTCGTCGACGCGCAGCCGGCGCGCCTCGCTCCGCAGCCTCTGCCGCTCCACGGCCTGCCGCTCCGCCTCTGCCGCGCAGCGCGCCGCCGCCGCCGCCTCCTCGGCGCGCTGCTCCGAGACTTGAGCGTCGCGCTGCGCGCGAGCCTTGGCCACCGCGGCCTTCGCCGCGCCCGCGGCTGTCTCGCTCGCGGCGGCGAGCGCCTCGCTGCACGTCTGGAGCCTGCTATCCGCAGCGTTGACCGCGGCCTCGGCGGCGGCGAGCCGCGACCGCGCCGCCTGATCGAGCAGGAGGAGGAGGGGCACTCACCTCTTGGGCGACGGCGACGGGGAGGGGATGCAACCTCGCTCCCCCTCGACCACATCTCGGCGAGAGAACCCCGGCGCGTTCCCCCCCCCTCCTCGGTCTCGGCCCCGTCTCGCCTCGACGGCGGGCTGCAGCGCCTCGGCGGCCTCGTAGTCCTCTTCTGCCGAGCGGGCCTGCTGGTCGCGCTCCGCATCGCACAACGCACGCGCCGCGCCCTCCGCCTCCGCAGCGGCGCCGCGCCGCACGGCCAACGCGCCGGCCGCCTCGGATCGCCTCGCCTCCGCCGTGGCAGCAGCCTTCCGCGCGCGCGCCTCCTCCACCGTCTCCGGCTCGAGCAGCAAACCGCCGCCGCCGCTCGCGCTCACTGCGGCCGCCGTGGCGGCGGCGGCGCCCGCCTCTGCTTGCGCGCACGCGGCGTCGCCGCTGTCCGAGAGCGGCGGCGCGGGCGCGGAATCGCCCGCCAGCGGCGTCGCGGCGTCGCTCTTGCCGCTCGGCGTCGCAGGCGGCAGAGGGGGCCGCTGCTGCCGCGCCGTCGGCCGTGGCGGCGCTCCCGACGTCGGCGTCGGCGGCGCCTCCGCTGCGGCGTGCGGCCCCCCGTCGGGTCCGGCGGCGTGGGGCGCGCGGATCGTGAGCCCGCTCAGGAGGGAGGAGCCGAGCCCTCCTCCCCCGCCAAAGAGGGAGGTGAGCGCGGCGCCGATCTGGCCGCCCGCAGAGTAGACGCCGGCGCCGCTGCCCTCGCCGCCCGCGCCGGCGATGTGGCGGCTCCCTCCGGCGGCGGGCTCGGCTCGCGGACAGCGGTGCGCCTGCGCACGGCGAGGCGCGGTGAGGAGAGTGCGGAGGGCGTGGCGCGCGGAGGGCGGGCGCGGGAAGGGCTCGCGCGGACGCGCCTCCCCGCCGCCCTCGGGTACGCCCTTGGCGTCCCGCCGGATCGGCGGCGACTGCCGCAGCGGCGGCGCCGTCCCTCCCGCCGCCTCGGCGGCGGGGAAGGCTTCCCCCGAGAAGAGGTCCGGCGGAAGAGGGCCGGAGAGCGCGCGCGACGGCGGCGGCGGCGCGCCGCCCCGCCCGCCGCTGAAGCCTCCGGAGGTGGAGGCGCCTAGGGGGCGACCGAGGGGGCGACGGGAGGGTATGAACACAGAGGGCTGGCGGTGGGAGTACGGTCCCGATGGGTCGCAGCCGAATGCGCGTCTTCTCGACTACCAGGCGTGTGAGCTCCGCATCTAAGACGGAGCATCTAAGACGGAGCACCGCTCGAGGCGGAGTGCGGCGAGGCGCGGCCGCTGCCCGGCACGGGCGTGCCTCCCGCAGGTTGGCAGCGGATGACGAGCCCACCGAGCACGCCCCCTCCGCCGCCTCCCGCACCGCCGTTGCTCCCTCCCCCCCCTCCGGCCGCCGACAATCCCCCGTACGGTAGGCACGCAGAGTCAGTCGAGCCGGAGCCGAGCGAGCTCGCGGCAGAGTGGCGAAGCTCCGGACGGTCGCCACTCCTGTCGCCGCCCCGGTCGCCGCCCCAGTCGAAGCGGAGCGGTCCCGGTGGCGGTCGCTCCGGCGGCGGCGGCGACGGAGAGCCGAACCCGCCGAATCCCTCGCCCGCAGCTCCATTTGGCGGAGTGGTGGCCGGCGTCGGTGGGCCGTACCGGCCGCCTGCGCCGGCGGCACCCGGCCCTGCTCCTCGCGCACCCAGCCCGCCCAGGGAAGAGGCGTGCGTCGAAGGCGACACGTGGGCGAGCGCCGCACCCTCCGCCCCGCCGCCGCCTCCCCCGCCGCAGGACGCGTCTGCCAAAGAGCCGACAGTGCAGCCTCCAGCGTAGGCTCCACTGGCCACCGGAGCTGCGGTGGGGTCCTCGCCCTCCTTGGAGGCCCAGCCGGGGCGGCGCGCCTTGGCGGTCTTCTTCTTTGCCCGCACGGCCGCCGCTGGGCCGGAGGGCACCGCCGCTGCCGTGCCCGGCGGGATACCACAGCAGCGCAGAGCGGCTGGCACTGGAGCAGCCGCGGCGGGCAGCGACGGGGCGGAGGGCATGGCCGAGGCGGCGGAGATGGCACCAAGGCCGCAGCTCGCAAACGGGTCGGGCGGAGGCGCGGGTGGTGCGGGCGCCTCTGGCGCGTTGAGAAAGGCGAATGAGGAGCTGCCGCCCTCGGCAGGCGCCCCGAATCCCTCAAAGCCGCCCTCGCCGTCATCGGGCGCAGCGAGCTCCGCCTGCGCAGCCGGCTTGTTGAGGAAGCCGAACGAAGAGGAACCCTCCTCGCCGTCGCCGCCGGAGCCCATCTGCAAGCCCGCGAACATCGCCTGCGCTTGCGGGCCGCCGGCGCGCGGCCGCGGCAAGCATGTTTTCTCGTTTTCCACCGCCGGACACGCCGAGCCGAGGAGGGGTAGACACAGCACCGGAGGCTTGGCCCGGGGGCGAAGTGAGGGGCGGCGAGGGCTATCGCGAGCACCAAGGCGACTTGCGTGAATCACTGCTGCTCCTGCTATCCTCCCGCCCGCCCGCCCTGTCCGCCCGCCCTGCCCGCCCGCTCGCAAGGGGCCTTCACCTACACACCGGTCTGCTCCCCACATCTCCCCACACCTCCCCACACCTCCCTCTCCCCACACCTCCCCACATCTCCCCACCTCTCCCAACACCTCCCCACACCTCCCCACATCTCCCCACATCTCCCTCTCCCCGCACCTCCCCACATCTCCCCACACCTCCCCACACCTCCCCACACCTCCCCACATCTCCCTCTCCCCACACCTCCCAACACCTCCACCGCGAGCGAAGAAGAAAAACGAGCTTGCCTTAGCTGGGCTCTCTTGCCCGTAGCCCGCCCCCGAGCATCCGGTCCGCTGGGTGCGCTTCTTAGCTCCCCGGCCCTGGGTGTGAGGTTGCCGACTGCACTCCAAGAGTGCTCCAAGTGCCGGACGTCCCGTCGGCTCGCAGCATCAGAACAGCGTCAGAGCAGTGTGCAGGCAGCGCACGGAATGACAATCCCGTGGCTGAAGTGGTAGGCCGCGACTCAAGGGTGAAGGGATTTGAGGCGCTGCGCTGCAACCCCAGTGGTGCGGCGCGATAGCAGGGACCAGCAGGTGCGGCTCTGTGAGCACTGAGGGAGGGTGTAAGAGATGTGAAGTGTAGATCGCTGGAGCGGTGTACCGAGGTGTTGGAAGTGTCAGGTGCCGAGAGAGGCCGAGAGCCGCGCCGCGCGCGGGGGCGTGATCTCCTCTTCCGTCGCGCCTCGTCTCACCGCTGTGCGGCCCGCGCGGACTTTGTGGTGCTGGTGGCCGCCCTGCTCGAGCTAGTCACACGCCGTCTGTCTGGCGCGTCGTGGGTTCCGATCGGGGCGAGTTTAAAAATACCCTGTAGCTTTGTACCCTATAGCTTTGTACCCTGTAGCTTGGACGGGGTGCACTCATACCCCGATGTACACGGATGCGTTTTCTGTTGTTGGCGGAGCAGGCGTGGCGGGTGCGAATGCGTGTCCGCGCAGGCCGCACAGGACCTTGCTGGCGCAGAGCATGCTGTGGCTGCGTCCCTCCACTGATGGCGGCACCGCACCGTCCTCGTCGTCGCTGAGCGCCTGCCGAGACTGGGTGGAAGGGCTGGACGGCGCCTCGGACACGTCCTCCTCCAGCCCGCTGGAAGTGTCATCGTCGGTTGACACCGCCGTGGCGAGGACTGCGGACGCAAGGTTGAGGAGCCAATGCTTCTGCATGAGCGGCGCGCCCCGCCTCAGCTCGCACTGCGCCAGTGCCGTGAAGAGGGCGCGGTCCGACGGTGATAGGCGCTGCACATCGGAGGCAGCACCAATGCGGGCCATGCGGTCGCCCCGGAGCATTTGGCCGATGCGCTGGAGGCGAAGGCGATGCGTCCTCTTGTGGATCGCGCTTGCTTCGAGACCGCGGAGCGTCATACTGCGTTGCGTGTTTCGCGGGGTGGGGAACGGGTGGCGTCCCCGGGGGTTCGCGCTTCGTGGCGTCTTTGTAATCTACCGTAATCAACGAAGATCTCTTTAAAAGAAAGAACTGACCTCAGGTTTCTTTCTTTTTAATCGGTCTCCCATTTCTCCCGTTCTCTCGAGGCTCTCGGGGTTGAGAGAGAGATTTTTAGCAATACCAATACACCTAATACCAATACACCAATCACCAAACAACAAAACAAAACCTTTATGTCCCACCATGCAGAGCGCATCTCTCTCTCTGTTGTGCGAGGCGTGAACCGCGCCATTCGCTCTCACCTGGCAACCCTGTCTGCACGTCTCGCGCGCGCGTGAACAGGGCTCCAGGCCCCAAATTACGTGTGAGTGTTAGAGTTGTTTGGTATTGCTAAAAATCTCTCTCCCAAACAACTCTAGCACTTTTAAGACGTCATTTGGGGCCTGGAGCCCCTGCCCTGTTCACGCGCGCGAGACGTGCCTCCGTAACAACACGTAACACCATGTGTTTGTGTGTGAGAGCGAGAGTAACAAACAAAGTGAATGTTACGCCAGAAAGAAAGAAAGAAAGAAAACAGACAACCCAAGGGAGGGATGGGAGGACGGCACGCCGCCACCACACAGGGATTTTAAGGAGAGGTGTGTGGTGCGCTAGCCGTCGCCCACCCTAGGGAGTCTGCCTCTTCCTATCTCTCTTCGCAGTCTCTCTCCGATTCTCGCTGCAACCTTCATAAATAAATAAATAAATACCACGGACACGCCAAACGAGGGGTGGGAGAAGGACAGGGTCCCCACCTGCACAAGCAGGATCTTGTAGGACGATCAGGGACACAGGGGAACGGGAGCGGGGAGCGCATCGCGACACGGAGGGGGGCTGGGCAGGGGGTTCACCCTCACGACAGGAATCCCATCTCTCGTATAGGACAGGTTGCACCCGGCGGCACGGGGGCAAGCGCGGGCCTCCTACTGGTTGCGCTCTCCTAGTTCTCCTGCTCCTGACAAGGGACAGCGACAGGCTCGCAGCACAGTGGACTCCCTATCCACTGGCGATCTCTCTCGACTAGCGACCTTCCTCCGACGTCTCACCGGCAGTCTCTTCTACCACAGGCAGACTGACACGTGGGTGGCAGTGGCGGTGATAGGAGTCTCCCACTCTGTGGGCCTCGCTAGAAGTGCGACCCCTGCGCGTGTCCTCGCCCTTGAGGAAGGGGAAGGGGCTGTGTGTCTGTGCATGTGTACAACATGTGTGTGTGTGTGTGTGTGTGTGTGTGTGTGTGTGTGTGTGTGCTCGCTCGCTCGCTCGCTCGCTCGCTCGCTCGCTCGCGTGCGTGCTCGCATGCGCGGTCGCGCGCGCGCTGCGCGAGCCGCCCTGCCCGCTGCGCTGCTAGGGTTGCGCTGCGGGAAGGGCTCGGCGGCCGTTCCTAGAAATCCTCGTCGCTCCCCTCGTAGAGGGAGGGCTCGTTGGACTCGAGGAGTGGGCCGCCGTCGGAGGAGGAGCGGGCGGCTCCGCGGGCGACGCTCGCCCAGTTCTTCTTGTTGCTCTTGACCTCGCCGCCGCCGCCGCCGCCGCCGCGGCCGCCGCGCCCGCGCCGCCCGCGGCTTGTGCCCAGCCTGACCGCGCTCGGCATGCGCTCGTAGATAGTGTCCTTGAAGGCGGAGTGGAGGAGCGCCTCGAAGTTGACGCACGGCGCGTAGCGGCAGCGAGCGGCGGTCTTGCACGGGATGGCGGTCTGGTTGAAGGCCGGGCAGAAGCCGATCCCGTCGCGCACCGCCATCGCCTTGGCCTTGCCCGCCGCGCGCGCGACCTCGACCCTGTTGTCGACGATGAGGCTCTCGAAGGTCTTCTTCTTGGCGACGTTCGCCGCTGCGGCGCGCCTCTCCTTGAGCGCCTGCGCGCCGCACTGCGCGTCGTGGATGATGTCGGCGCTCGTCGTCGCAAAGGCGCGGCACGATGGGCAAAGCTTGTTCCCGAGCACCTTCACACTCCCGACGTCGAGGCGGAGGGGTCCGCCGACATCGCCGCTCGCGTAGACGTTGGGCAGGACAGGGAGGTTGCAGACGAGGTTCTCGTTCTTCACCTTGAAGAGGATCGAGCCGTCCTTCTCGTCCGACTTCGTGCCGAGGAAGGAGTGGTATCCCTCCTGGATGGAGACCACGTTGCCGAAGTGCTTCTCCAAGAGGGGGGCGAAGTGCTCGATCTGGGCCGCGGTGTTGATGGCGCCGCGCGTGCGTATGGCGAGGAGGCCGTCGGAGTCGATGGTCGCCTGGGTCTCGCGCGCCTCCGCCTGCTTGCCCCACACGGTGGCGTCGAGAGCGGCGAAGGTGATGGTGATGTTGTCTGGCGCTGGGAGCTGTAGGACGCCACCGCCGGCGTACTGCTCGAGGAAGGCGCGTGCCTCGCTCTCGCCGCTGAAGGCGACGCAGATGGCGCGCGACGTGCCGATGACGGGCACGCTGATCGCGCTCGCCGGCTGCGCCTCGCAGCCTGGCGTCTTCCTCCTTCATGCCAAACCAGGAGGTGTGGCTGCCAGTTTTTTCTTCGAGCCGGGCGAAGTTTCCCAGAAGCGAGCACACACACAGTCCAAAATTGAGATGGCGTCCTCGTGGTCTGACGCCCCTCCTGCCTCGTGGTCTGACGCCCCTCCTGAGGAGGCCCGCGCGCTCGACGTGTGGCCGCTCGACGAGAGCAACGTCAAGCTGCTCGACGCCGTCCGTCCTCGTGCCTGGGAGGGCCCGACTGAGGCGGAAGCGGCCGGAGAGTATGACATCATCGCAATCGGCTCGGGCGCGGGCGGGCTGGTGACGGCCAAGCAGGCGGCGCGGCGCGGTGCGCGCTCTGCGCTCATCTCGGGCCACCTCGCGGGCGGCGACTGCCTCAACGTCGGCTGCGTCCCGTCCAAGGCGCTGCTCCACTGCGCGCGGGCTGCGCGGGAGGCGAGGGCGGCGCTGGCCGAGGGGTTCCTGGTCGCCGCTGACGGTACCGCGCCCAAGCTGGAGGTCGATTTTGACGCCGTGATGGCGCGGATGCGCCGGCTGCGCGCCCACATCGCGCCCGCCGACTCGCACGAGGGCTCTGCGGCGGCGGGCGCGCACGTGTACCAAGGCTGGGCAAGGTTCTCCGGGCCCGACACGGTGGTGGTCAACGAGCGCACGCTCCGCTTCAAGAAGTGCGTCATCGCGACGGGAGGCCGCGCCGCGGTGCCGCCCACGCCCGGCCTCGCCGCCGCCCCTTACGTCACCAACGCGACGCTCTACAACCTGACTGCGCTCCCTCCGCGGATGGTCGTGCTCGGCGCGGGCGTCATCGGGATGGAGATGGCGCAGGCGAGGCGCTTAGGCGTGTCGCGGCTAGCTCTCTCGGCTGATCTCGGTGAGAGCAGCTTCTCCTCGCCCGCCGCCTCTCCCAGACCGCGCCGGAGCCCCCGTGCCGCCGCAGGCCTTCGCCGCCTTTGGCTCTCAAGTGACGGTGCTCGCTCGCTCGGCGGTCCTGTCCAAGGAGGAGCCGGCGGCGCGAGAGGCGGTCGTCAAGGCGCTCGAGGCCGACGGCGTCGCCTTCGTGTCGGGCGTGGACGTCAAGGAGGTGCCGACGCTGCGGCCGCGACCGCCGAGGCGCACTTGCAACGTTCTCTGAAGAGTCTCGGAACCGTCCCGTAGGTGCAGACGCTGCGGCAGCAGCCAGACGACCCGCGCGCCTTCCCTCTGCTCAAGCTCGTGCTGGGCGGCGGCGGCGGCGTCCCGGCGGAGCTGGAGTGCGAGGCGCTGCTGGTTGCGACGGGCCGCACGCCGAACGTCGACGGGCTCGGCCTCGACGCGGCGGGCGTGGCGCACTGCGGCAAGGAGGGCATCGCGATTGACGACCTCGGAGCCACGTCCAACCCGCGCGTGTACGCGGTCGGCGACTGCGCGGCGGGCGTACCTCGCTTCACGCACATGTCTGGCGAGATGGCCAAGCTGGCCGTGCAGAACGCGCTCTTCGGCGACGGCTGCAAGGTCCCCTCGCTCAACTGCGGCTCATGACTGATTGTGAACGAAGGATTCATCAGGCGACGGCTGGAAGGTCTCCTCGCTCGTGGTGCCGCGCTGCTGCTACACCGAGCCCGAGGTCGCCTCGCACCGCAGACATGAACACACAGCCGCTCTGAAAGCTCTGGGGCTCCTGTCTCAAGACATGGAGTTGCGGCAGCCAGACACTTGGCCGGCTCTCGCGCGCGGAGGAGAGCACGTGTCCGTGTCCCCTTCCCCCGGCCACCCTCAGGTCGCCTCCGTCGGGCTGACGAGACGCGACGCCGAGGCGGCCGGCGTGGCGGTCGACACGTACTCCTCGTCGCTCGAGCACAACGACCGCTTCATCCTCGAGGGGCAGGCGGCCGGAGGCGGCATCGTCGAGATCCACTGCTCCAAGGACACCGACACCATCGTCGGCGCGACCGTCGTCGCCGCCGGCGCGGGCAACATCATCAACGAGGTGACCCTCGCCATGCAGGCTGGGGTGGGGCTGGGCGCGGTTGCGAGGGTCATTCACCCGTACCCGACCGTCGGGGAGGGAGTCATGCAAGCCGGCCTTGGCTACATCCGCAGGCATTGGGCCAAGCTCAACTGAGGGGTAACGCGCGCCGGCGGCGGGCGTGCCGTACGTAGCTCAGCACGAAAATACCCTAAGGAGGAAGAAAGAGAAAGAAAAGGAAACCCGGCCGCCACGGCCCGCCAGGACGGCACGGCACTGTGGCGCCGCCCACCACACAGGATCTTCGCGCTCTCAATCTTGATTCGGAAAACATCTCGTCTCTTTGTTCAAACTCACTACTCGCAATGATCCATTCCGCCCTCCCTGCACTGCTGCACGTTGCGGCGACGCCGCGTGCTGCCCCAGAGCTCGCGCTCGCGTCGCATGCTGCCGACGCGGCTGCGCTCTTTGGCAACATGCAGGGCACGGCGGCACTCCTCACAGGCGGCCTCGTGCCGCTCGCGAGCTTTGCCGGACCAAAGCCACAATCCTCGGACTCGCCGAACACCGCGCGCCTGAAGCGGCTTCACATGCTGGTTGCGTGGACGTCGCTTGTGTCGGAGCTCACCGCGATAATGTGCGTGCCTAATCTCACAGCCGCTCGGCTCACAACAGGCATGTCACTCGACTCTGCAGAGCTCATCCTGCTCTGTGACTGCAGGTACGCAACCATCGCCAGGAACGTGCTCTTGGAGGCGGCTGTGCCGCACACGCACAGCCTCAAGGAGCTGCTGTTGCGGGGAGAGTACGCGCTCGCGTGGACGGGAGTGAACTCGCACTTTCTGTTCGGGCTGCTCGGATTCGTCAGCACCGTGAGTCTCAACGCGTGGCTCTCCTTCGGCTGTAACTGCGCCGGCGGACGCATCGGCCCTGCGCTGGCGTGCGGCGCCTCGTCGGCGCTCCTGTTGATGCTCTCGGTGGTCAACTCAGCGGTTGGCAAGGGCGATGCGCAATCGGTGCAGCACTTGCCGTCGCTCCTCGGCCTCTTCCAGCGCTACGCTTTTCTGCTGCTCGCCGAGGTCTTTGTGCGCCGTAAGATGCTTATCGGCATTGCGATCGCCCTCAGCGCGGTGGCGGTCGTGCAAGGCGCTCTCTGGGTCGTGCAGGTCCCAGGAGACTGACCTCAACGTGAGATCTATAGACTAAAGAGAGAGGAGTTTGTGTTGTTGTTGTGAGGAGCAGAACAAACCTTCCTCTCTCACACACTCACTGCTCTGTCTCACTGGCACATGCCTTGATAGCTTTTTGGCTTAAGCCTACGGCTTTATAGGGCGGGGGTGACGGTGTTCCATGGGGTCTCGTACCATGTGCGGAATCGACCCTATCCATTGCTCAAGTGCTCATGTCACTGGCACGACGCGGGTGTGGAGTTCGATCGGTTTCTCCCACACAAACCCCTCTCTATCTTTTCTCCCAGTAAGCTAAAAGTACGTACGCACAACCCAAGTTTTGCTGATTTTCGCCGTTTTGGGATCCGTTTTATGAGTACAGTGGGTTGCGGGCATTAAGAAAACGTCGCATTAAGAAACCCTACCAAGAGATTTCCGCAAAAATCTAAGAAACCACGGCGCGCCGCAGGCGCGGCCCCGAGAAAAGGCCAGCCAGACACGAGTCTCGAGTGTGAACGGGAGCGGCCCCAGCTCAAAATTTCTCTTCGCCTGCGGCGCGCGCACTTGTCACTTTCCAAGTCTACGGTGTTCTGAGTGGAGTGGAGATGGAGGCGTGTGTGCGTCTTCCCGTCATCCAGAGAGCCGACTCGGCGGCAGACTCTCTGGCATCGCCCTCGCGGACCGCAGCTAGCAGCTTACCTCTTACCTAAAATCCTTAGGGGGCCGGCTCTGGCCTGAGTGCCGGCCGGAGCTAAGAAACCACGGCGTGGGGTGGGTGAGGGCTGTGGAAAGGCTTAGAAACGGCGGCGTGCCGCCATTCTGTTTTCTTAATGCCCGGCCCCCAACCCACTGTAGCGGTCCCCAACGAACGGGGGGTTGCTGTCTATCCGGTCCAGGTGCCAGTCGGTCCCGATCTCATTCGGAGGTGGTTTGCCTTCGGCCATGCCCCTGGAACTGCTCGAGCTGCCTGACGAGATCCTCGTGCGGATACTCTCCCATGCGAGAAGGTATGCCGATCTCTCTTTCTCAGCCCGCGCGTGCAAACAACTATCAACTTCGCACAGATGCGGCGAGCCAGGCAAAGCTGAGTTCAACAGAAGGCTGGAAGTACGTTCCGCTTGAGGATCACTACAACGGAGCGCCTTTCACATGGCGTTCGCGCTATGCACTCGGCTTCGACAACCTATTTCAGCAGGCGTGGAAGGACGCGAGCGCGAATGCGCCCTGGCAGTGAAGATCGGCGCCGGCCTGGGCTACGAGGAGACCGCCCTGCTGATGCAATCCGTCTCTGATCACGATATTCTTTGTGCACCGTGGTTGATCGCGACTGACCTCTGGATGGCAGTCCAACTCGGCGATCGGCCCGCACTGCCTGCCGACGGCCCCGTGCTCGCCGTCAAAACAGAGATTCGTCTTCGGCCAAATTCAGGCTACAGCCCACAGACGGTCGTGGAGCTGCGGGACACGTCACGCAAGACGGTCCTTGCCAGGGCCAAGGTCAGCCTATGCACGGCGCCGGAGGACTACTTTGATGACAATCAATCGGGCCCAACGATCCTGCGATTCGACGTCTTCAAGGCTGCGGCGGATGACGACTCGCTCGTCGAGGCGGCCGGTATCGCCGATCTCGATCGTCCGCGCACTCAACGAGCACTCACAGACACCGCGGCCAAGCACGGCGCGGCAGAGGCGAATCTGCTCGCGGCGAGGGTGCTGCTATGGCGTGGTGTCGAGGAGTTTTGCGCCTCGCACGTCGACCCGCACTTTCCATACATGTGGCCGTTGCGCGCGTCGCCTACCCTGCTGGGCAAGCACGGACCGTTCTTTGCGTGGCGCGGCATGACGATACGGCGGCCACTTTCGCAGACGCGGGCGATGCTGACGCAGGTCTTCGGCGGCGGCGGCGGCTGGCCCTACCTCAGGCTCGGCGCTCCCGAGGACCCTGACGACCCGCGTTCAACCGCGATTGAGGAGTGGAGAGAGCCGGGAGCGGGTGGGAGCAGCGACGAGGACGTGGCACGGCACAAGGCTCTCGTGGAGGCAGCGGAGGCGGCGCACATCAGGGTGGCGGCGCACCTGCTGCAAGAGTGAAGTACTCGCTCGACAACGAGGACAATGACTCCGAGTACGAGCCCGAGCACAAGTTCTACAGTAGCTGCGGACAGATTTCGCGCCGGTACGCGGAAGAAAACGATTGGGAGGGATCCGACCCGAGCGACGTATGCGATTGCCCGTCGGAGAGCGAGGAGGAGGGCGAGGAGGGCGGGGAGTATGAGGAGGGAGAGGAGTGAGCGTTGTGGGGGTCATCAGCGAGGTGTCTGTTCGCAGCGAGGCGCATTAGAGTGAGCAGTCCAAGAGTCCCAGTCCACACTGGAGGGTGTGACACTGGACATCTTGTGTGCCGGGGGGGGAGCAAGGTATGTCAGCATGATTGTGGGGGGAGAGTCGTCTTTTTGGGAAGTGTGACGGAGAGGAAGTAGACAGTAGTCCACAGTCGTCTGGCATCACAACGGGCGAGCCCGCAACGTCATATGGCTCTGGCTACATGACAACTTTACGGATTCACGACTACACGAGAGAGCAGCGAGACTGTTCCGCGCTCCCCCCCCGTATGCGGTCGTGGAACTGGCGCGGCGGCGAGGAGATCAGTCTCTCATCACACCAGGCTGTCGCGCAGGTCGGAACAGATGCCGCAAGTGGCGGGGCAGTCCAGCGCCTGGCAACATTGCGGGAAGGGGTCAGGGGCAGTGGGGCGGGCGGTGGGGTGGGAGTCGGGCGGAGAGACGAGGGCAGCGAGTCACCATCCGGACCGGATTGTACTCGCATTCGCCGTCGGCCGACCAGGAGTGGCAAGCTGGAGAGCGGTCGGCGCATGCGACGGTGCAGGCGCCACACGTTGCTGGACAGCTCCTAGACTTGATCCGGCACGGCTTCGTGATGGGGAGGGAGAGAGGAGAGGAGAGACTGTACTGCACAGACCTGAGCATTTCACTTGGATTCGCCTCGCACCTCTCCTTGCCCCACTTCTTGCACCTCTCCTCATCGAGATCGCGGCATTCCTCATCGCGACGGCAAGAGCCGCAGGAGTGCGGGCAGGCTGGGGAGGGGAGGGGGGGGAGGGGGGGGGGGGGTATCGGACGCCGTTTGCACACCTCACCCCACTCCCTTCTCATAGGACACATGACCTTTCATCATGTACCCTGAATTCAGAGTGCACGCGTCTTGCAGGGCCCACTGCCCACAGTCGGAGTGCGTGTCCGAGCACAAGGAGGAGCACACGCCGCAGGCAAGAGGGCAGACACGCAGCATAAAAGTTCGGTCTGGACCGTGCGACTGCTGGCAACGCCTACGGCTTGAACAATTCCCGAAGTTTCTTTGGGTCGAGCGAATGCGAGGAGGGCGAAACGAGGCGCCCGCTCATCGCCCAGCGGTCGCAAGCTGGGGAGAGGTCCTTGCACGGAGTCGTGCAGAGGCCGCACGAGAGAGGGCAGACTTCGTGCATCTGTTTTGTAAGAGTGTACCGGAGTGAGGGTGACGAAGTGCACTCTGGGGAGGAGGAGGCGCACCGGGCCAGAGTTGGAGTAGCACTCTCCATCCTGGGCCCAGTGTCTGCACTCTGGATGTGAGTCTTCGCATCCCGGCCGGCAGATCCCGCAGGACGCCGGGCACGTTTTGATGACGGTGGTGGCGTTCTCGCCCCAGCAATCTCCGCCGTTTGCCCAGTGCGCGCACGATGTGTGGTGGTCGCTACAGAGGGTGCTCCCGATGGTCCGGCGCGCCGCGAGCGAGACTGCGAGCGCGAGCAAGCTGCGAGGCATGGGCCCGTTTCAAGAGCTATTACCAGCTGTCTCAATCGTTGCATGGACGTACGATTACTCGAGTATCTGCCGAGTTATTATATTAGTAAGCACGCCGGCAGGCAAAACTAAGAGGGGTAATACGTTCGTCAACTCTCTCTGCAGAGTCGGGCCGAAAGAAGCAGGTTACAGGCTTCATGCAAACAAAAGATTCGGACGATTTGTCTTATGAATGAGAGTTATGTACTGTTGAAGGATAGTAATAGGGCAGTTCCAAGCAAAGTGCTCCAAGATATGCGCGAAGTGCAACAACCTACCTGAGTACACACACACACACACAACCCCGGACCCAAGACCACACACACGAGAAGTCGAGAACGGACAGCTGAGATAAAGAGAGACTTTTCGATCGAGGGGTCCCGTACCATGCCGCATGCGGATGAATCGACCCTCTCCAGTGCTCAAGTGCTCAAGAGACTTTTTGCGTAGCTGTTGAGTGAGCGCTGGCCGCTGCTTCAGCAGCGTGCACCTCGATCCTGTACCGTGTGTGTTATGACCCCTCCCAATGACCACCCCAGACCCAGAGCCCAGTGAGGGAGGGCGAGACGATCGAGGGGTCCCGTACCATGCGGAATCCGACCCTATCCCTAATCCCTATCCAGTGGCAGTTGCTCAAGTGCTCAAGTGAGCGCTATTCTCAGAGCGGTAAACACCGATATCGTTCAAAGGAACCCTGTTCAAATCGTGACGCTGTTCGCGCTTCATTCACAGGTAAGTATAAGCGGAGCAGCTGAGTAGATACACAACAGCAAAACCAGTGTATGTGTTCACACCTGCAAGAGGTATGAACAATAACGATTTCGGCCTTAGCCGTCGGCATGCCAATAGCGTGCTAGCCAAGCACCTCCCTTTTCTTTTGTCAAGAATGTATATGGCGGCCGATCTGGCTGCCGATCTGGACAAGCTCCTCGCCGCGCTCGGCGGCGCGTGGCTCGTGCTCACACTCCTACGCCGCGCCACCGCGTCGCGTGAGGCCGCCGCTGTGGCCGACGGCTCGGCTGCCCCCTCCGACACGGCTGAAGCTCTCCGCCGGCTGCAGTGGCAGTACCTGCCGGCTTGGCTCCTCTTCAAGGCGGCCGACTGGATGCAGGGCCCGTACTTCCACGAGGTGTACGCCTCGAAGCGGCACGTGGCGACCGGCGAGCCCTTCTCCGATACCGACGTCCGTCTCTGCCCGTCCTGACGCCTCCTTCCCACCGCCGCCCACCGCCAGACCGCAACTCCTGCTACTCTCTGCCGCCCCCTCTCGACCGCATCGCCAACTGCGTGCGAACCTCGCACCCGCAGGTGTCGCGCCTATTTCTCGCCGGGTTCGTCGCCGCCACCCTTGTCGGCACCGCCGCGGGCTCCCTCGTCGACTCTCGCGGCCGCAGGGCGGGGTGTGTGCTGTACGCGGCCGCCGCAGGCGCCGCCGCGGCGTCGGTGGTGTGTGAGCGGCCGGAGCTGCTGCTGGCGGGCCGGGTTGTGGGCGGGATCGGCACGTCGCTGCTCGCGGCGGCGCCCGAGGCGTCCTCCTCGGCTCACTGCCTCCTGGGGTCCGCACCAGCCAGGGGAGATTTGCTTTGCGTCGGGGCGAGAGTAGGCCTGGCTGTGCGCCGAGCACGCGAGGCTGTCGCTCCCCGCCGCCTCCCTCGGCGGCATCTTTGGCTGGGCCTACTTCGGCGACTCGCTCGTCGCCATCGCCTCTGGACAAGTGGCATCTCGCGCCGCCTCTGCGGGCGGGCCTCAGGCAACTCGCCGCCCCTGCGCCGCCCCTGCGCCGCCCCTGCGCCGCCCCTGCGCCGCCCGCCCCTGCGCCGCCCCTGCGCCGCCCGCCCCTGCGCCGCCCCTGCGCCGCCCCTGCGCCGCCCCTGCGCCGCCCCTGCGCCGCCCCTGCAGCGCCACGCCTCGAGACCCTTGGACCCACGCCCACCCGCCGGACCGGGTGACGCGCGTGGCCCCGCGCAGGCGCCCTTCCTCGCCTCGCTCCCCCTCCTCGCCGCCGGCGCCGCCATCGCGTCCGCCACGTGGCGCGAGAACCGCGGCGGCAAGGGCGGCGGCGGCGGCGGCGGCGGCCTGCGCGAGGGCGCTTCCATCCTGTTGCGGCGGCCGGACCTGCTCTCGCTGATGGCGGTGCAGGCGCTGTTCGAGGCGTCCATGTACATCTTCGTCCTCGTCTTTGCCCCCGCCATCGTCGCCGCCGCCCCCGCCGCTGCGCGGGAAGGACTCCCCTTTGGAAAGGTCTTCTCTTGCTTCATGGCCGCGTGCGCCGTCGGCTCGGCGACCTTCTCGCTCTGCTCCGCAAAGGGGCTGCGGGCTGAGGCCTTCCTGCTGCCCGTGCTTCTCGGAGCGGCGGGAGCCCTCTACCTCGCCTCCTCCCCCCCCGCGGCGACCATGCTGCAGCGCGCGCTCAGCATGTCGCACAAGCCGCTCTACCTGGTCTTCTGCTTCGCCGCCTTCGAGGCCCGCACCTGATGCCAACCCGACCCGACCCGACCCACGCGCCGCGCCTCGTCCCCGCCCAGGCCGCCCACCCCTCTCGCCCTCCGCAGGCGGCGGTGGGCGTCTACTTCCCTGCCGTCGGCGGACTGCGCGCCGCGTACTTGCCCGGGGCGCAGCGCGGAGCCATCATGGCATTGACGTGCCCACTCCCTCCCTCCCTCCCTCACCCCCTCCCTCTGCGGCGCACCTCAAGCCCCGCCCGCCCCCTCGTCCGCAGCCGCGTCCCGCTCAACCTGCTCGTCATCGCGGTCGCCCTCGCACGCGACCGGCTCGGCGACACGGGCGCGCTCCGTTGCGCGGCGGCGGCGCAGCTGCTCGCCGCCGCCGCCCTCGCATCTCTCTGGGCGCGGGGCGGCGCGGCGGGCAAGGGCGAGGCCCCGGCGGCCAAGGACAAGGGGCTGGCGGCCAGCCCCGCGATGTCGACGCTATCGAGGGCCAAGAAGGCGGACTGAGCACTGTGACCACTTGAGCCGAGGAGAGCCCAGAGGGCGGCCCGCCGGGGGGCCAGAAGTCGCGACGCGCGAGGACGTTGACGCTAAAAGGAAATAGAAAACGGGCGGTAACGGGTTGTCGCCATACACCATGGTCCATGTGTGCGTAATTGATATTTTCTGATTTCTCCGCTGCACCGTCGTCTCGCGCGTGTTCGGCCCGGAGGGGGGAGGGGGCCGGGTAGGAGGGGTCTAAAGGGAGAGGACCGTGAGTTGAGGAAATCGGAGGACGCGACCCACTTCGCCACAGACGGTCCCGCGCCTCGCCGCTATGACGGCTACACGACCGCGGCTCGTGTGCGTGTAGCCGTCTTTGTCCGGAGTGAAAAGTCCAACGCGCTCGTCGGTGACGGTGTCCTCCAACCTGCGCCGCGCTCGGCGAACCTCGACAGCGCTTTCGGTGGCATGCAGCTCTTTGCGCCTGAAGCTTGGAGAGCAGCTCCTCTGCTGCTCACACGTTCTGCACAGTTGGCACAGCCTACTGTGCGGCTGTCACAGCTGTCACAGCGATGGGCTCGCCCTCACTGGCCCTCAGTCACTTGTGCTGCGGCTTGTGTGAGCGACACTGCTCGGCGACTGCCGGCACACTGTGAGACCATGGGTGTGAGGTTAAACCACGCTACCAGCGCTTGTTCACATCGGCCCCGAGGCCAGATCCTTCTACTCTGTTGATGACAAGACTTGTCTACTGGCTGGAGCCGAGCAGGAGGGCCCAGCGCACAACCCCAGGTCAACTCAGGGTCCACACCCCGTAGGTTACCTCTAGCTCTACCTCTGAGCACTGAGGGGCCTGCGGCCCTCTTACCTTTAGAGCCGTACGCTTTAGCTTTACTTCTGGGCAGCCGTGGGCCCGGTTACCTCTACCTCTGAGCGACGTAGCCGTGATTTACCTGTGCGTGATCTCGCCTCGAGAGGATCTCTCTCGCGCGCGAGAGAGGCGAGTGAGCAGTGATCTCGAGATATTGCAATCTCGATATACAACATAATCTGCGATTCACTCTCCGAGAAAATAAAATGCCCAGCCGCACGAGTGTTTCTGAGAGCCGCTTAGGTGAGTGGCAGACATTTCAAAATAAAATGGGCGCCGCAGGCGCCCCGCGCTGCGTGCCCACCATGATTGGGCGCGCAGCGAGGAAAATTTTGGATGTCGACAGCCTTTTCTAATAGGAAAATGGCCTCCTCGGCGCCATACCGCTTTTCGGCGCACAGCAGAGTTCGCAGCCTGACATGCTGCCTTCCCTTCTACACTTTCAGAATGGAGGCAGCGCCGGGCTCAGCTGTGCCCAGACCGCAAGTCGATTTGTACCAAAGTTGGTAGACAGTGCCAAAACCACGGAATCGAAAATTGCTCTTAAATTCGCGCACCTGGTTTCGCACTGCCGCATGGTGCGAGCCGCCACTCATGAGAAGGTCTCCGCTGCGATGCTTTTGCTGTCTGCATCAATGCAGCATCCCATCGAGCGCGTCACTATGACCTGACCCCTCTGATAACCGACGTCGCCAACGGCAAGCCTGCGTCCGTGTTGCATATGCTCTCCATTCATGTTCGCATTGCGGTGGATTGCCAATTCGAGCCACTTGAGCAATCATGCACAATCAATGCGCCGAAGAGCTGAGACGCAGATGCTTTGCACCGGGTCAGCAGGCAGACAGTGCAAGGTCCAAGAGGTCGCGGCACTGGTCATTCGCGATGCGGTAGGCGATGCGATCAGCCGTCAGCAAGCGGCGGTGAAGCCTGGTCCATGGCCGGGCAGGCGCGCCGCAGGCGAAGCGCTCTCGCGGGGCCTTGCGTCGTCCCACCTCGCGAGCCCTCGCGGGGCCACGGTCGTACGTTTACCTCCCCTCACGTGGGCTCCGTTTACCTCCGGCGGTCTGAGACAGGTTTACCTTTACCTGAGGCCCCACACGCCAGCCCTACCTCTCTACCTGGAACCTGCGCACCCGGCCCTCCGGGCCGATCGCGTCGCTCCCTGACTAGTCAGTGTCTCGACCCCCCCCCACCCCCCACCCGCCACAGCGCCACAGGCCGCCGCGCCGCGCGCCAGCGCCAGCGGCGCTGCGGCAGCGGCCGCCAGCGCCACCCGCCACGCCACCCCGCACCCGGACCCGACCCCCCGAGAACCCCCGAGCCCGACGAGGCGCCCCCAATCTCGCCGGCACTCTGTTGACTTTGTGAGGGCGGCCGACACGACCGCACCACCCCTCTCATTATACAAGGTTGAGCGCCACGCACAGAGAGAGGGTACTCGGGGTCCGCGCCGGCCGCCGGGGGAGCGGCGGGTGGTCCGAGCGCGGGGAGAGGCGATCACGCGCCATGTCGCGCGCTCGCGTGTTCTCTGTTCTGTCTGGCTATGCTGCCGGAGCGCAAGTGGCCCTGGTTCTTAGGCGGCCGAAGGCGGAGGGTACTCCTTGATGCGGCGATCGAGGCGCGCTCGGTTCTCGGTGATCTGCTTCACCATGTGCTCGGTGTAGCCAGGGTCTCCCGGACCAGGCTCCGCCGACGCCGGTTCCACCCACTTCTTCGGGTGCGAGCGCTCGGCGGCGGTGAGCTCCTTCGCCAGGCTGAGGTGCCCAGAGCGGTGCGCTGCCGCTGCGGCGGTGCCAGTCGTGTCGTAGATGGTCGGGTCAGCGCCGGCCGCGAGCAGCATGCGCACAACTTTCGTGTCGCCTCGGGCCGCAGCCGTCATCAAGGTGCTGTCGCCGCTCGCGCCGAGAGCGTTGACGACTGCGCCAGCGTCAAGCAGGAGCTTGCAGATCGCCTCGTTCTGCACGTCGTGGAGCGGTGTCTGATCGTAGTCGCCGAACGAGCTGCTCAGGTTGACGTCAGCGCCATGGGCGAGAAGGATCTCGCACATGGACTGGTGGTTGCAAACGACGGCGTGGTGGAGTGGCGAAAACTTGTCCGACTGGAATTCGACGAGCCCGTTGGGGTAGTAGCCTTGCTCGAGCATCCGCACGACCTCGGCCTCCCAGCCTCCGTCCGGAGCCGGCCAGTCGGGCATGGGCATGTCGCCGTTGGTCTCGCCGACCGCTGCGGCAGCGACCTGGACGAACTTAAAATTGCGCTTCTGGAAGTCCGTGACGCGGTCGAAGAACGCCTGCTCCTCTGCGTCCTCGCGCTCGCGCTTGGACATGCTCGAAGCTCGTCCAGCTTAGCGGGAAGGCCTCTGCTCTCAACACTGATTGAGTTGCAAAGGATTTCAATTTACAGACCTTGTTATTGAGAAGAAAATACTTCACCTGGCGCTTTGCGCTGGATTTCAATTTACAGACCTTGTTATTGAGAAGAAAATACTTCACCTGGCGCTTTGCGCTGGTCTGTGAGAGGTTGAGGTGCGAGCCCTGGAGGCCCTGGGAATGGGGTGAGACTACCCGCGGGCCTAGAAGGCCCGCGCGCAGTTCACAGCCTTGTTATTGAGAAGAAAATACCTACCTCCGCTGGCGCTGTGCGCTGGTCTGTGAGAGGTTGAGGTGCGAGCCCTGGAGGCCCTGGGGATGGGGTGAGACTACCCGCGGGCCTAGAAGGCCCGCGCGCAGGGGGGTGGGACATTGAGACCGGTCATGAATGAGTGCGCGACACGTGCATGTTGCGAGCGGCGTTGTTGATGTTCTGCGCGTCGCCACAGACGGCGGCGCGCGAGAGCTGTTGCGAGTGGTGCTGGGCGAAGCCCCGGGCGCTGCCGGAGGCTGTGCCGTAGTCGGTGCGGTCGACAGCGCTCGGGCTGCCGACCTCTTTGGCGAAGTTGAAGATGATTCTCTTGGTCGGCGGCGCAATGCCGCCCTGGCTTTCGACGAGACAAATTTTGACGATTCCGTTCTTGACATGGAGCGCGTCGTAGTACTGTCCCTTGTGCTCTTTGACCCAGCCTTTGCCGGTCGCATGGACGAGCGGGCCCTGTGACTTGTGGCCGCGCTCTTTGCACCCAAGAACCTTGAGCAAGGTTTGGTCGAGGGTGCCGCCGAAACCAAACTTGTGGCCCAGTGACGCACAGCATCCGCCGTGTGCCGCCGAGCCCTGCCCAGCCTGCCTCGTCTTTGTGAGGGCGCTGGCACCTTGACTTCGTAGCGGACATCACGCTGGGACTGCAGGTCCCCGCCGATCTCACACATGTCGGTGACGTGCCCCTCATTGAGATGAAAAGTCGTCTGAGGGTTCGCCTTGTCACCGAGCACGAGCTTGCCGCAGGCTCGTGCACGGACCATGTTGGCCGCCGCATACATGGTGCCGTTGTGACGAATGTTGTGCTCGCACGGAATGTCCTTCGATCCGTTTGCAAGCTGGTCGCCCTTCCGCATACCGATGGTGACTGTCTCACCAGCCGCCTCCTTGGCGTCGTACACGTACTTGGCGCTGGAAATGTAGTAGCCGTGGCGGCGCTGTCGCCGTGGCAAAAACCTCCGAGGTGATTTTGGAGGAGTGCCGGCCGTCGGGGCAGAGGTCGAGCCACGCTCCCGAGGCGAACTGAGAGACGGCGATGAAGCGTGTCGCCTCCCGATGTTTGACGCCGTTCGGGTCGTCCATCTCAGCATCCAGCCGCTCGCAGGCGGCGAGGCAGCGAAGCCACCGCTCGTGCGACGCAATCTGAGCGAGCGTGCCCTGTTTAGGGACTGGAGAAGTGCTCTGCTCAGAGTAGAGGTCGGAGACGGGCGGCATCTTGCTAACGAGCGGGAGGCCGGAGGGACGGACGTAGTACCCAAGGTTGTAGTTGTTGACCATCCCAAAGTCGACATGCTTGGCCCGGGCGCGGTAGACGCCCCAGAGCTTGATGCAGCGGTCGCGGATGGAATTGTAGTATTTGTTGAAGTAGACGAGCAGAGGTGGTTGCACGAGGGGCGGTGCGCCGCCGCCAGCGAGGGCGTGGCCCTGGTAGGCCGGCCTGTCACGTAGCGATGGCCAGACGGCGAGGAAGGCGGCGACGAAGTTCACACTTGCACGACAACGCGTGGACTGGCGCGGACTGGACACACCGGCACACTCGCAAAAGAAAAGAGCTGAGTTTTGAATCAAAATCACCCGAATGCCACGTTCGGATCGCTCCTCATCGCAAACCCTGTCAGCAGTTCACCCTCGGGTATGTTCGTAAGAGCTACATACACTGAAAATAACAATGAGCGCGCGCGAGTCGTAAATGATCGCTGTCGGGTAGTAATAAAGCACCCGGAGATACGAAACGAAAATTGATGGGCTTGCCCATCCCGGAGTGGTTCGACCCCACATAAATCCGAGACGGTGACGGGATGCTGTCGTACGGTGATCTCAGGCCCAGTGGGGTAGTGCATCTGACTATCCCGGATCCTGCTGAACAAGTTTTGTAGCTCGATCGGTCACACCGCCATCGCCGTCGGGGAGAGGGGGGACGATACTGCTCTGGCAGCGTGCACCTCGATCCTGTACCGTGTTTGTTATGACCCCCCCCGATGAACACACCAGTGAGGGAGGGCGAGACGATCGAGGGGTCCCGTACCATGCGGAATCGACCCTATCCAGTGCTCAAGTGCTCAAGGCAGACCGTCGGCGGGGGACGCACGACTGGCAACTCTCGGGCGTCCGATCAGCGATGCTGACTCCTCGCGCAATGCTGCGGACCTCTTGCTTCGTCGGCGTCGAGATGACCCTCGGTGACCTGATCTGCCAATCACTTGAGGGTGCAACCTCATTCGACGCCGGCCGCTCCGCCGCTGTCGGCGCCGCTGGCTTCACCGCAACCGCTCCGGTCGTGCATATGTGCCTCGTCGGGCTCGAGCGGACCTTGCCCGGGAATTCAGTTAGCGCCGTGCTGGGAAAGGTGCTGGCACAGCTCCGTGGCTGACGACCGACGCCCGCGCTCCTGTCAGCGACGCGAACGGCCACCGCAGGTAGCTCTCGACTGCGCCATCATGCCGCTCCCCATTGGCGCCACGCTCTTCGGGATCGGTGTCTACCGCGGCTCGAGCGTCGAGGACGCGGCGAGGAGCACCCGGGAAGAGGTAGGCCAGTCGTGGTCGTCGGGGATGCTATTTTGGGGGCCTGTCAATTTACTTCGCTTCCGTTTTGTGCCGCTTGAGTGGCGAGCTCCTATCGGGAGCCTCGCTGCCGCTGTGTGGGGGGTCTACCTCTCGGCCGTAGCCAACAAGGTGGCGGCGCGCCCAGCCCATCCCCTCTTCTCTTCCGCTCGTAGTCCTCGCCCTAACCACTTCCTCACGCAACGACGCAGGCACACGCCGGCGGGTCTGTTCCTGCGGAGATAGACCAGCTGCACCAGCACGAGGTGCACAAGAAGCTCAGTCGCGTGGCGACGAGGATTGCCACGGCGGCCTTTTAAATGGCGCTGCAGCTCTTTGTTGCACGGACATCTCGTCTCTCATCATGAGCTGTGAGCTGTGAGCTGTGTGAGCTGAGGCCATTGTGTATGTGAGGGTCCGCCGAGCTTTTACGTAAAGGAGACCGCTTCGCGCGCTCACTTGAGACACACACACACCTCCACACCCCTGGCACACAGCGCGCTGGTCGGGTGTGTCTGGCGTCATTCTTCAACAAAAGGTCGGAAGGATCACACACGACGTTTCTCCGCACACGTTGAACATTGTATCACTCACATCAGTTCACGCCACCTTGGCATCCTTCCCACCGCCGCGCACAAACCACGGCGCCAGGAGCGGCGTGCGCCTCTGGTATGCACGGTAGAGAGTTGCGCGCTCGGGGCGGCGCAGCATGCGTGCCTCGATGAGCGGCAGCGTGGCCAGCGTGTCGATCGGGTGGTTGAAGCACACGCCAAAGGCCACAGCCCAGCAATGAGGGCCGCCGGCCACAAAACCTGACCACCCACCCGCTGCTGCGACGGCGGAGCTCAAGATACCGATCCACCAAAGCTGCTCTCCAAAGTGGTTTGGGTGTCGCGAGAACCGCCAGAGGCCGCTGTCGAGGAGGAGCGGCTTGTCGGGCGACTGCATGTAGGCGAAGAGCTGGTTGTCAGCGACGAGACCGACACAGATGCCCGTGAGGCAGAGGGACGCGGCCAGTGCGTCGAACCGGTTGAGGGAGGCGCCCGATGCCGCCATCGCTGGCTGCAGCGGCATCGTCAAGCCGACGAGCATGCAGTGCTGCGCGACGCAGACGGCGAAGAACTGGCTGATGACAAACCAGCGTCCGTGCTCGCGTCGCATGTCATTGTACCGCCAGTCCTCCCGATCCCCAAACTGGTAGCCCTCCCGGCGCAGGTAGTTGTGCATCAGCCGCGTCGCCCACACAAGCAGCAACCCAAGGACGAGGTATGCGCGCGGGTGTTGCGGCACGCCTTCGTCCCAGCCGGCGTCCGGGTGTGAGAAGAAGAAGAGCGAGATGCACACCGGGATGAGCTGCCAGTGCGGGTCAATGAGCCACGTTGAGCCCTGGAGGAGGTAGATGAGGTAGAAGCCGACGTCGACGACGACAAAGTAGATTAGGTTGACGCACAGGCGGGGATGGGACGCGTAGACATCGCACGCCACGCTGGAGGGTGGTGCAAACATAGACGAGGCATCGGCGGGCAGAGCAGCAAGCCACCGCCGAGCGAGTGCGAGCCCGGACTCACCGCTCGTCGGCGTCTCCGCCGGACAGCGGCGGTGGAGCACAGCCACGTAGAGGGCCGGCGGGACGCAGACGCCGACCATGAGCAGGAAGTTGGCAAGAGAGCGCATCCGATGATCGGTGGCCGAGATCAGAGGACGCTTCGCGGCGTGGCTGCTGCGGCGGCGACGGGGAGAGTGAGGGCGGTGCGGAGCCAAGGCCCCCGGGTTTTCTTTAAGGATCGAAGGGAGACGGAACAGTAGGGGGTTGTGCACTCTCTGAAGCCTCAGACCCCCCTCTGTGAGGACGGGTCGGACCCCAGGCTTGGCGGCACAGAGGGTTTGACTCTGACTCTGTGCCGCCTCTGTGGCCTCTCTTGGCTGATTTTGGCCTCAGAGGGTCCCCGGCCGAGGGTCTGTCTTGGCGCGGCACAGAGGGCTTTGACCTCAGAGGGTTGCCCCCTCACGGCAGAGGCGAGAGCCCCGGGCGGAGGCCGGAGCTGCCTAGCCCTCCACGAATGGCGCTGACCAGAGAGAGAGAGAGATTTTTATTAACCAACAAGAAATCACGACTGTCACAGTGATTTGGGCTCTGACCAGTGAGGGCGGGGAGGGGTGGTAGCATTATAACTTAAGCAAAAACTGTTAGAGTTGTTTGGTATTGCTAAAAATCTCTCTCTTTAAGCAGCGAGCATGACCAAGGCGCTACGCTATGCTCGAGCGCCCGGCACCACACACGCTTACTGTTGCTGCAGGCTCACAGCGCCCGCGCCGAGCCCTGCGCGACAGCTTCGCGCGGCCCGCGGCGCCGACCCGTCAACTTGAGAATGTGCTTGGAGCGGCCGCCCGAGCGCAACGCAGCCGAGAGTCGAGAGATAAAATCACCGCAAGAGACTAGAGAGAGTCAGGCCGCCCGCAAGAGAGTCAGTAAGCTGTCAGGCCGCGCACAGCGCGAACTCCTCGCCGTACTGAGCCTAGCGCAGCGCGAACTCGCCGTCTGAGCCTAGCGCAGCGCGAACTCGCTCCGGAAACTGTTTATTTTTCGGCACCAACCTTGGGATGCTTTGCGCCGGCTTCCTCGCCGTCGGGTGGCCAGACCTCGACTTTGGGAGCTTGATATCGGCGGCCGAGAACGCCACGCTCAATGGGCTCGATGAGGTAAATAAGGTCGCCGAGGAGTACCTGAAAAAGGCGCCGCCGCCACCGCCGCGCAAGATGTGGAATGACCCGACGGCGGGCTCGTCGGCTAGCGCGGAGGCTGAGGAGAGCGCGTGGCCGCGCACAAAGGCCACCGGAGAGCTGCTGGTCGATGTGTACGAGGCGAAGAGAGGATGAGAGGGACAGGGAGGGGGAGAGAGAGGGACTGAGCGAGCGGGAGAGGCGAGAGGACTCCTCGCAGCTCCGGCCGACCTGGTCCGGCCTGCCCTCACCCCAGGCGAACGAGCCTCCGGTAGCGAGGCTACCAACGAGCCAGCCGCCCGCGGAGTGGGAGCGCCTCTGGAAGGGCTCCGACTGGCTCTGCACCGAGGTGGGCGGCGACTGGAGCGCCTTCCTGTACGCGCAGGGCGTGAGCTGGTTGCTCGTTAATGCGATGGGTGCGACGAACTGGGGCGTGGGCTCGGAGATGAAGCTGCACATGCCCAGCTGGCGCGCGAGCGGGCCACACGCCGGCCCGCCGCCGCCGCGACTCGACGCCGCCGCTGAAGCCTCGCGCCTCCCTCTTGCAGGCGCGAGATGCATGGAGAAGCCTTCATGCGGGGGCTCCCGTCCGTACCCGGCGTCGACACGCACCAGTGGCAGCACTACTACTACGACTGGCAGCCGTACGTCGCCTCCATCCCGCTCGCCCCCGACCAGGCGAATGGCGTGATCATCCGCAGTGCCGCCACAAGCCGCCACCCAGAACGCCACACCGTTCGCACACGCGCGCACGCGCGCACGCCGCGCGTCTCTCGCGCAGCCGCACGGCCCGTCCGAGGCCCGTTGCAGGCGGCCCTGCCCCCCGCCGCCTTCCCACCCCCACCCCCTCCCGACCCCGGCCAGGCGTGGCGCGGCGCATGGCTCGAGGACGGTACGCCCGCGGGCCGTCTCGAGGTCTCTAGGGCCGCGACTCTCGACCCCTCGCCGAGAGGCGGCCTTCTGCCCCGCCCCCTCCCTTAGGCACGCAGTGGATCGTCATGTCGGGCGCGCACGGCGCGTGGCAGTACCGCACGCAGCAGGGCCTCTCCGAGGACGGCACCACCTTTTGGAGCAAGGCGCGGGGCCCCGGCGGGGCGAGGTGGCCTGGCCGCCCGGCCGTGTAGGAGGCCGCCGCGGCGCGCCGCCGTAGGCGACCATGCTGCCCGACGGCATCTCCGTCTCGCGAAACTTCAAGCGGCTGGGCAATGTGGCCGGCCGCCACCGTCGCAGCGCCGCCCGCCCGCACTCGCTTCGCTGAGAGAGGCCCTCGCTCTCCGCCCAGGTCACCGACGCCGAGCTGCAGTCCATCCGCAGCGCGCAAGCCTCCTCCGGCCTGATGGCGGCGGGCGCAGCCTCGGGCGTCGCCGCACTGCTGGGAGGCGCCTACTACGCCTACAAAAAGCTGCGCCCCCCAAAGGTGCCGCTCGCGCAGCAGCTGTGAGAGGGGAGTGGCGACCCAACGACCAACCACGCCCCGGACGCGCCCTCACCGCGAGCGCGACACCGCTGCCCGCTGTCAAGTCAGACATCCAATCATCAAAAGACAAAACGCGCGTTCATGAGTATACGATGATCATTCATCACGCGATCCACTGCGTGTGAGTACGAAGATATTTATCAAAACCCCGCGCGAAACCCGCGAAACGAGGGCGCGCACACCACACGCGGGTGTGCACTGGCCAGTGCGCAGGTGGCCACTGCTCTCTACTGCGACCGTGCCTCGGCGCTCGGGTACGGCTCTAAGTGTTCCAACTACGCTCTACGGCTCTACGGCCTCGAGAATTTCATCTAGAACATCAGCGTAGCGCGTTTCACAAAGCCGTTTCCCCGCCCCGCTCGCATATTTACGCGGCTACGCGGGGCATCGTGCGGGTGGATCAGCTAACGTCAGCTTGTCAGGTGAGGTCGTCCCTTTCAGTGTGCATCAAGTTTATGATCACGTATAATTATGTGTTCGAGGGGGCGGACGACGGGGATCGGCGCCTTACAACCGAAAAAAACAAAAAACTTCTTTCCGCGTGCACGCGCCAACGCCCGACAAGCATGTTGGAGGCATTCCCTCCCATACATTAATGCAGCGACTGGAGCGTTGGAGCGTTGTTTCTTCCGCCGCCACCGCCATGAAATGAGAGGAGCAGAGAGCGATCGCTCTTCTCCGGCGTAGATAGGAGGGGCTGGCGTCTGTCTGGGCGGGTCACGCCACCGTCACCGTACGAGGCTCTCAGCTATATGCCCTATGGCTAAAATAGCGCCGTGACAGAGCTCACGCAGGGGCCAGGGCTAAAGCCGTAGGCGTAGCCGAAGCCCAAGAGCCGCGAGAGATATCAGATATTTTCGGTTGGGGTTGAAGAGTACGGTATAGCGTATAGATAAAGCCGTCTGGGCAGGAACCGCCCCCCCCCCCCCCCCCGCACAGCGCACTCGCGCGCCGCGTAGTGTGTAGTGTCGAGGGTAGCGTTTCTTCTTTTATAAATATAATGCCGGAAATTGGGCAGACGCAGAGCTAGTGGTTCTGTGGTTGAAACTTATAAGTGTGTCTTGTGTCTACCTATCCGACTGCGGACGGTGTACTCTACATGGAAGGGGCACCCGAGTGTTGGCTAGCCGTGCTGTGTCAGTCAGTGTCAGAGCGCCGCCCTCGCTTGCCGCCCCTCCGCCACGGCGCCCTCCACCAGCTCCTCGAGCCGCGCGCCGAATGAGACTGAGTCGTCAAAGGTCTCGACCTGCTGCAGCGGCGTCTCGTCGACACAGGCGGCTTCGTCGGCCGCGCACCCCGTCGTGCAGCCCAGAGGGGCGGCCTGCTCGCGCCCCTGCCCAAACCCACCGGCCGAGCCCTCTCCCTCAAGCTCTCCCTCCGCCCCACGCTCCGCCGCCGCGCCGCGCCGCTGCGCCAGCAGGCGGCTGAGGCTGGTCGTGGCGGCGGACACCTGTTCACAAGCAGAGGTCTGAAGACGCGTCGCCGCAAGAGGCTGAGAGACGTCTTGAGGCGGCGGGCACGTCCGATCCGCCGCAATCCTCTCCGCCGCCCGGCCAAGACGCGTCGCACGCGTCGCCCGCCCGCGCGCACTCCACGTCGCCACCGGCGGGATCGCGAAAGGGCCGTCGCCCGCCGAGGCTGCCGCTGAGGCGGGAGAAGCCGGCGATGCGCGCGCTCGCCTTGGAGGAGCACCGCGCGTGGTTCCGCGGTGTGTGGCCGGTGTCTGCCCCGCGCTGAGTCAGAGTCGAGGGCGGTAGCTGAGCGGTTGGTCGCGCTACTGCCTACGCTCATCTCGTGCGCTGGCATGGTTTTTGGCGTGTGTGTGTGTGTGTGCTCTGTGTGTGTGCTCTGTGTGTGTGCGTGCGTGCGTGCGTGCGTGTGTGTGTGTGTGTGTGTGTGTGTGTGTGTGTGTGTGTGTGTGTGTGTGTGTGTGTGTGTGTGTGTGTGTGTGTGTGTGTGTGTGTGTGTGTGTGTGTGTGTGTGTGTGTGTGTGTGTGTGTGTGTGTGTAGGCTTGTGCGGTGATGACTGTGTCGCGAGCCTGGTAGAGGCTGCTGCGGGCCCACAACGCCGCCTGGTGGCCGCGCTCGCCGGGCGACCTGTCCCGGCGACCCAGGCCTCCGAGGGGGGCGAAGCCTGGAGGGTGCGGAGCCATGAAGTGAGTGAGTGAGTGAGTGAGTGAGTGAGTGAGTTTTGTGTGTGTGTGTGTGTGTGTGTGTGTGTGTGTGTGTGTGTGTGTGTGTGTGTGTGTGTGTGTGTGTGGTGTCACCTCTCTGCCACACGCCCCCCCGCCCAGCGTTTGCACGCCGGACGCCAGCGTATTGGGCAGCGGCGGCGCAGCAGCAGGAGAGGAGTGCGATGGCAAAGAGCACCGTGACCCCCACGTGGTGGCTGCGTGCTCTTGCTCCGGCTCCTCTGCAGCGTGCACTGCATTGACGGTCCACGCAGCTGTAGCTCAGCATACCTCCGACACCGATGCCGAGGGTGGTGGCTGAGCAGCCAATCCCCGACACCGAGGGAGTACCACTCTCTTTGCAGTCGCTGTCGGCTGCACATGCAGACAACGGTGGTGATTGCGGAGCCGGCGGCGGCGGCGAGGGCGAGGGCGGTGGAGGCTCCGCGGTCCACAGGCCAATATCGGGTGGCGAGGCGGGCGGAGGCGGCAGCCGCGGCGGTGGTGGCGATACCGGAGGCAGGCGGGGTGGTGACATCGGCGGAGGAAGGGACGGGCATGTTTCGTACAGGCCGAACCCGCAGAAACGGCAGCCCTGCTGGCCGCCAGCGGCGCAGCCGGCGGGCCTCTCCGCTGTGGTGCAACGAGCATCGTAGGCGCACGGCTCTCGCGGGTTTGCGCACATGCAGCGAGGAAGAAGCGCGCGGCTGTTCATGGCCCGCGCGAGGCCACTGAGCGTGAGCAGGAGCACGGCCGTCATCCCATCTGCGGCAGGTGATGGCGATCACACCGTGAGGAAAGGAGAAAAGCGTACGACAACTCCCCTGCCAATTGGGTCAGAACAAGGAAACGCAAACGGCTTCTTTATACGCTTGGCGGCCACAGTGTAGGGTGCCCGTGCTGCGTAGTTTTGCGGACGGGCCCCTCTATCGTATCCACCCTTCATGTCGGACGGATGGCGTCGAATGGCGTTAACAGAAAAACACAACCCCGGACCCAAGACGCACAAGCACAGACAGTCGAGAAGGAAGTGCCAGGGAGAGACAGCAACGACAGTCAGACAGAAGTCAGCGCTGGGTCCCAGGAAGGCGAACGAATGCGATGACGGCCTCTAGTGTGTGAGCTCTACCGTAGGGTACCGAACTTAAGGTAAGGTAGCTTGAGTTAGGTTAGGTGCTTTGCTGAGTTAGGTGCGGGTAGCAGCAGTTAGGTACCGGGATTTCTTTTTTGGTACCGGCGACGGGCCCCCTCGGCCCTCGCTGGTACGACGAGGGTGCGGCGAGTGAGGAGGAGGAGGAGGGGGAGGAGGAGGAGGAGGAGGAGGAGGAGTAGGGCATCTAGTAGCGTAGGCACTCGTAGTCGGGCGTAGGTGCTCGTAGGTCGTAGCGTAGGAGGGAGCGATGCCTCAGAGTGGTGTGCGGGCCGCGTGGCCCGTGTGCCGGTCCGGCTGGACCGAGAGGTGGGTAGCAGGAGTTAGGTACATTACAACAGGAGTTCGGTAAGAGGAAAAGGGCTCCCTAACTCAAGCTACCTTACCTTAAGTTCGGTACCCTAATCTAGTGAGCTCATGACGTTCACAACGAGAGTGCGCGAGACAGCAGGGTTCCGGCTCCTAGCCAGATAGGGGGTCTGTTCCAAGCGGCTTGATCGGGTTACGGGCTAGAGAGCCCTAGCCCTGGGGGGTGCGCGTTCGCAGGGAGAGGGCCGTAAAGTAAACACGGTTCCCCGAGGGTTGGCCCCGCATACCGGGTTTCCCCTTAACTGCGGCACGGCGAAAATTTTTTCTTTCTTTTTGGGTGAGCCGGTGTGTGTGCCAGTCCGCGCCAGTCCGCGCCCTTGTCGTGCCAGTGTGCTGTGAGAGAGGCTCCTATCTTTTGCAGGCGCGGATAACAGGGAACCCGCCTCCGACCTGCCGGCCTGCCGCGAGGACCCTGCTGGCTCCTCCGCTGTGGGCCTGCAACCCTCTGGGTCCTGTCTGTTCCATGGGCAAGCTGACGTGATCTCATGATCCTGTCGCTGAGACCTCTCTCCCTGCCGCCGCGCCATCCCGAGCGTCGCGCACTGCTGCGGCAAATCGACGCTGCGCTCCTCACAGATGGATGGTTTCGGGTTCCAATCGATGAGGAGACGGCCGCCGTCATTGACAATGCGTTTGCCGAAGCCAAGCAGTTTCTGTCGCGGCCTGAGGCCGAGAGACTGGCATACACGCGAGAGCGCGCTCTGGAGCAAGGCTGCGCCGGCTTCACATACCTCCCGGTTGGCGCCGAGCCGCTGTACGATGCGGACGCCGCGACGACCCAGCGCGTGCACTCGCTCAACCTTCATGATTCTCTCTCGGCCGACGAGGTGGAATTCTCTCTGACACAGCCCCGGGCACCAATCCACGTCTCGACATCACGCTCTGCTGGTGACCCAGGTCGACGCCCGGCTGCCCGATCAAACGCCGTCAGATCGGGCCCTCGCGCTTTCCTACCACGCCTGGCCGACCGAGCCGAGCCTCGCGCCGCTGCTGGCGGCGGCGGCCGAGCTTCGTTCGCGGCTGCGTGACTCGCTGTGTGAGCCGCTGCTGCACGCGTTTGCGGCGCGCGCGGCTGCCGAGGAGCAGGCGATGTGGGTGCGGAGTCTGCTCACATTTTGCGTCGGTGGTTCGACAGGCGTTGCTTGGTGGCGAGGAGGAGATGCTGGCGAGGCGGTGCCGCGGGGGGCGGTCGGACAACACCTCGCTGCTACGACTGCTCGAGTACCCGCCTTTGGAAGGTGCGTCGGAGGGCACTTGGGGCGTCTCTGCGCACACCGACTACGAGGTCTTCTCCTTGCTGCACCAAGACAGGCCAGGGCTGCAGCTGAGAGGGCGTGGCGGAGGCTGGCTCTCCGCGCCGCACTCAGCGGAGCGCTGCTGCTTCGTCCTCGTGGGCGACATGCTCGAGCGACTCTCGGCGGGGTACTTCGCTGCCACGCCGCACCGCGTGTTGCCGACTCCGGCCGGGCAGCGAGCGCGCCGCTCGTTCGTTTATTTTCAAGCCTTCGACGAGGAGGAGCCGGTGAGCGCAACCACGCTTGCCGGCGCGCGGCGCACGCCGGTGTCTGCGCCCTTCCTTGCCTGGCTCGAGGCGTTGCCAGAGCAGGCGCGCAGGCGCTTCGCCCACCCAGTCACCCAGCGCGAGTGGACCGAGGCTAAGGACAGCGCCGCGAGCGCGGCCTTGGCCGAGTGCGGGGTAGGGTGAACAAAGAACACATTTAATTGGGGTTGGCCCCGTCCAGGTGCTGGGGCACGCTCTGGTGCTGCGCGGTGTGTCTCACACGGCGATACGAAAGTCCCAGCTCCCACTTTGGCGAGAGGCTGCCGTCCAACTGGCCCCAAAAGCGCTCGTCCGCCGGGCCTGGCTTCAGCGCCTCGTCCATGAGCTCGAACAGCACCACTGCCACGTCGTCGTGGCATCGCGATAGCATCCGGCCAGAGAGCAGATTCTCGTAGTACGTCCTCGAGTTGTTGGTTGTCGCGAGCCTGTCCCAACCGCTCGTGGGCCACCCCGTCTCGCCTACCACGACCCGACCCGCACCCGGCTCGATGCCTGCCTTTGCGAGCGCGAACTTGGTCGCATGTAGCATCATGTCAAGCATCGACGCAGCCTGCTGCACACCGAAGGACGCGTTGGCGTGCGCCGCGTTCCATACCGCCCTGCGGTCCACGTCCGGCGGGTAACGCCACGGCAGGGAAGGGTCCTCGCCCAGCGCAGCAGGCAGGAGCGCGAGGTTTCCTCTCGCAGCGAAGTATGGGAACCAGTTGACCATCACAAAGTCAACGGCGCGGAGCACCTCGACCCACGGCGCGTCGAGTCGCGCCGCCTCGGGCGGGTACGAGTCCTGGACGACGCCGCCAGTGAGGGGAGTCGTGACCATTACGTGCGCAGCGACCTGCGAGTTCCGTATCGCGACCTGCAAGTTCCGTATCGCGCGCAGCATGGTGGGGGGTGACACGGCGGAGGCGGCCTCGTTCGGCTCGTTACCGACGGCGATCGCTATAACACGGCTCACGTTGTTCCCAACTTGGCGCAGTATGTCGACAAGCAGCCGGTCCGCGTGCGCCTGGCTTGAGCTCATGAGCCGCGCCTGGTCGGTGCTCGTCCCTACAATCAACTGCTCCACCTGCCGGTGGGAATCATATTGTCACCACCTGTCGCCTCTCTGGGTGTGGTGCGGAGTGGGGTGGACCCCATTGCCTCGTACCTGCTCGCTCGCGAGGATCTGCTCCACCCACGACGAGGCGGCGCCAGAGTAGGTGCGCACCAGACGGAAAGGAAGCCGCTCGATGAGCGAGGCGGCATTGTCAACCTCAAGGGTGGCGCTCGCGCTGAAGAGGGTGCTCACAGCGACGCCCCAGCGGAGGATCCGGAGCGCGCGAGGATGCTCCGATGCTGTTGGCTCGGACGGACTAGCTGTGTCATGCAGGCAGCAGCCAAGAAGGATGCCGTCGGGGGTCGGGCAGCAGTCGCCATCGATGCCGCTGCAGCCAGAAAAATCAGCGCACCGCGCGGAGCCGGAAGCAAGTGGCGGCATGTCGCAGCACGGTAGGAATGATCCCTCGACTGTCGGGCAGCAGTTGCCGTGCACCTCTGCCGCGCCGCACTCTGGGTGGGCGGAGCAGGATGCGCTGCCCGACAAGGATGAGAGGGCGGGCAGAGGCGCTTCGCGAGACCGCATCGCCAGGATCGCGCCGAGCGCAAACGTCGCGAGGTGTGAGAGGCCAAGACAGATGCCGGAGGAGCGTCCTCGGCTGGCGGAATCGTGCACAGCCACGTAATCGTGAGCGGAGTTGCAACGGCACATGAAACTCGGTGTCGAACCACCAGCCCGACGCGCACTGCAGTTAGCGGGGGACGCGCGATTAGCGGGGATATACGGATCCGGCAATGAAACAAGAATCTTACAACAAAACTCCCTCGCAAACAAGAATTCAATCACGTTTCACAATCAAACCCGCCCCACCTTGTTGATTGAGAAGAAATACCTCGTATCGCGCTTTCACAGACCTTGTTATGAAGAAGAAAATCCCCACGTGTTCGTAGGGGCGATGCTGGCAAGTGCATGCCGCACATGCACATGCACAATCATATGCATCTGCATGCGCATGCACATGACATGTTCGCTTTGCCGCTCTCCCCTATCTTCCCACGTACTCCCTCGCACACAAGCACGGGGTTGCTACCAGACAGAAAGAGGTCTAATCGAAAAAACGCGACAGGGGATCGACACGCCGGTCGAGTCCGCGCCGGTCGGCGACACCGCCTCCAGTGGGTGCGGGCCGCCGGTGAGGGGGTCGCCGGTCCCGTTCTGCGCGATGCATTTGGAGCTCGGTCGTGCTGCCCTCGGGGGTGCTGTTGTACGCTGGTTTCGCGTACAACGTCACGCGTTGCTGCGCGGTCGGCCCGCGGTGGGCGCCAAGGCAAGGTAGGGACGGCTTGCTGCTGCCCATTACAACGGCCTGGAGACTGGCGTCTTTCCGCAGGTCCTGCAACCGTGCCCGCAGCTCCTCGACTGGCACGGCGCCAACACGGCCGCCACCAAGGCCTTCGAACACGCCGTCGATCACCTCGCCCATCGCGGCGAGGCGCGGCAATCCCCACTGGGCGAGGAGCGGCGGGAGGGAGCGGTGGAAGTCGGCGCACGAGACAGATCCGTCGCCGTCCTCGTCCCACGAAGCAAGGAGATCGCCGTCAATGGCCACCTGCTCCGCTAGCGCCAGCCGCAGCAAGCCATCGGGCTGGATCGGCGGCGGCACGGCAGGCCGAGGCGGCGGCACCGTGGGCAGCGACGGTTGTCTCGCCGCATTGGTTGCCCGCTTGGCCGCCGCCGCCGGCGGCCTCAACCGGCCGGACGAGAAGACGGGCTCGGAGCTAGAGCTCGTCAGTGCGACCGAAGGCAAAGTGGATCTCACGGCCCGCGTCGTCGAGCCATGCCCTCTCTCGCGCGCGACAGTGAGTCGACCTTCGTCCCCTCTTCTCTGTGGAAATTTCTCTTCCGCCTGCGTGCCGTCTTTGCTGCAAGCAACGCGACTCAGAGCCTGCCGCTCCTGCCTCTCGTGCGCGGCCGACGCCGCCGCTGCGGCCGCCGCATTCGAGCCCATGACATCGCCTCGCAACTGCCCGGGAGGCGGGCAGGTGGACCGATAGTGCCGCAAACGCCTCCGATCGCGTAGCCCTCGGGAGCCGGCGGCGATTCGAGCGGCAGCACGCCCATGCTCTAGTTCCTGCGGACTCAAGCTCGTGGCGTCCTCTCCCGTCGGACACAATGCAGCATGCTCCTCAGGCATGTTGGCAGCACCCTCGCAGAGCCGCGACTCTATCGTCGCCTGCCGCCCGCGGGTCCCCGTGACGCACTGCCGGACATGGCGACCGCGATGCGCAGCCTGAACCCGCATTGCCGCCTGCTCGTGGCTACGTGACTCCCTCTCGCGAGTCTCCGCCTCCACCCTGGCCAGATGGGCCCGAGCAAGTTGCCGCCCGTGGTGCCCACGGTAGTGCCGCTGCACAACAGAAGCCGACGTTTTGTGCCGCCGTTGCTGCAGCTGATCCCGACCTTGCAAACCTCTTGCATGTGCCTGAAGCATAATTGCCGCTTCCACCTCGGCCATTTGATTCTTGATTGCTGAGTCAAGGGCTAGCTCTGTCGGATCGTCGGGCGGCGATGCGGGCTCGTCCGAGGCGCCATCAGCGGCACCATGGTTGTCGCCGACCAAAAAGGCGCTGCCAGTCAAGATTCGTCGTGGCAGTCCAGGTGTAACTGGCAACGGGGTTGTCGCACGGGAAGCGGACAGTGAAATATTTGGCCTGCTGAAGGAGGTAGTTAGACCGGTGGCGGCGGTGGCGGCTGCGTTCGGCTTGACTTGTGCGGACCTCAGAGTGCGCTCGTGCGCCGCTTTTGCCTTTGCCGCAGCGGACTGTGCCGCGGCTGCTTCAGTCGCCCTTGCCTCCAAGCCAAGCTCGGCCCGCCGCGTTACGGCTTGCGTTCTCCTGGCTGCCGCCTCCCTAGCTGCCTCGACTTCCGCCTCCGCCTCCGCCTCCGCCTCCGCCGCCGCAAGAGCAGCGCGGTGTGCCGCCTCTGCCTCCGCCTTCGCCAGCAGCTCAGCAGCAGCCCTGGCAGCCTCGGTCTCTTGCTCCGCCCGTTTCGCCGCGGCCTCGGATGCCTCGGCTGCCAAAGCTGCCTCAGCTGCTATTTGCTCAGCAAAGCTCGCGTCCTGAATGGCTTGTTTTGCCAATTCAGCCGCCGCGGTTGCTTCGAGGAGAGCAGCCTAACCAGGGAGCGGCGGCGGTCAGCACGAGGAAGTCCAATCGTACTAGGATGTGGTGGCTGGCTGGGCGGCACCTGGTACTCCTCGGGAAGCATCTCGCGACAAGTGTTTGCCTCCTCCTCCGCCGCCTTGGCTGCTGCAGCTGTCGCCGCCTCGAGTGCAGCCCTGCGCATCGCCTCCTCCTGAGCCAGCGTGCGCATGGCCGACGCCTCGCGTGCTGCCTCGCGCGCTGCCACCTCAGCGGCCCTCCGCGCCTCTTCCTCCTCCTCTGCCGCCTTTCGTGCCTCCGTCTCCTCGGCCACCTCCCTCAGCAGTAGCCGTAGCCGCTTGTGCCGTGCATCTGCGGCCGCTGCCCCTGCCGCCCGGGCTGCTGACCAGCGGGCAGCCTCCTCCTTCGCTGCCTGGCGCCGCGCGGCCCGCTGCCGAGCAAGAGCGCCGCGAGTTCGGGCTTGTAGCCTGACTGCTGCACGGATGATGCGGACAGTTTCGAGAGCAACGGCTGCGGCGGTTGCCACCGTGCCGCTAGCCTCACCACCACACCTTCCGGCAGACGTGGCTACAAGTGCGAGCGCCTCGTGCACCGGCGCGTAGGGTGCGTCGAGTGAGCGCGGCGTTGCCTCACGTCGTTCGGCAGCCTCATCGACGAAGTGATCGATGTTCTCGAGCGTGCCACGGGCGAAGCGCTGCACATGCGCGTCCTCCGAATGGGCGAGCTCCTCGAGCCTCTTCGTCACTCGCAGCTGCCGCAAGAGAGTCCAGTAATCGGGATCCCGGCACCTGCACCAGCGCGAGGAGTGGGAGAGGGTAGGGCCGCCGTGGCTATGATATCTGGCTGCTCACGTGTTTTGCACTGCGCCAAGCGCGTAGATCACTGTGAGCCAGTCGGGTGAAAAGAGGAACTGAAGGAGGTACTCAAACCCGTGGGATAACTTGAAGATGGCCTTGGTGGCAGCCGCATGCCCGTCCACCTCCTCAGAGCACATGTTGCCCAGGATAAGCAGTGCCGCCTGCTGCAGCCCTAGCTGGCCGTCGAGGGAGAGGATGGGTACCAGCCTCTCAATGAGGCCAGCCTCGCGCAAGGCCTCGCACAACACCTCTGCGTCATCCCCGGCCGCCTAGGGAAGGAATCGGCAGCGGGCATATCACCAGCCCAGAGTGCAGGGCAAGAGACGGGTGGGGTGAGCGCCTCGTCGAGAAGCGACCCAATCTGGTGCATGGTTGCGAGCTGCATGGCTTCGTCCGCACCCTGAAGCATCTCGATTTGTTGCGCGAGCGGCATGTCGCCTGCAGCAGACATGTCTTGGCGCCCGTCGGTGTAACGATGCTCTGAAAGAGAATTTTACAACTCCACTCCCCACATATACACACGGAAAAGAGATACGAAGAGGCAGACTCCCCAGGGTGGGCGACGGCTAGCGCACCACACTCCTCTCCTTAACCCCTAAACGGCGTTCCTTTACATATGTAAAGGAACTCCTTGTTATTTTATTCCTTTGCAGGACGGCTGGTCGGAGCGACGGCCGATCCAGCAGTCGTCTGCGACATGGCAGTGGCCCCGGGTCATGTGCAGCTGGTCCCGAGCGGCTCAGGTCCCAGATCGAATCTCGGACCCACAGATTCTAGATTCCTTTAGATTCCCTGGATTCCCGCAACAACGATCTCTTAGCGGCGGCAAACAGAGGCGCAACTCTGCCAGCAGCGAGGAGGCTCCTGCTGCTCAGCTGCCGAGGCCTGGTGGCGTCGGCTGCTGCGTGGAGAAGACAGCAGCACTGTCCGACCTCAAAACATGCACAACAAGCGGGATTTGTGACTCTGTCCTCGATTCTTCAGTCGCTCTGCCGGACGCGCTCGCTTTGTCGCGAGGCTCACCGGTGTAAGCCGTGTGGACGCCCAGAATAGCCTCCTCTGGCTTAGCTAGAGTGAGAGATATTGTGAACGTTGTCAGCCTCTACAATATATACACTGACACTTTACCTCCCAGAGCTCGTCTAGGTCCGCCACGGCCATCCTCAGCCTCCAGAGGGCCCCCGGCTGCGGCGCGGTGCGGCGGCGTCACAAATCCGACGTCAGTTCACCGGGACGCGATCGGGCAATCTGAAGTCCAACTAGGCGTATGGATTGCCCGCCCAGGGCTATCACCTGGACCCCTCAATGGACGCATGCGGTGCCGCCCCCACGAGGTGTTGTTCACACCTGTCCAACCATTCGTGCAGCAGGAACGCGCTGTGTGGCTGGCAGCAAACTCAAATGACGACGGGTTGCAGCCTCGTAGCTCAACGGCAACATTGTGCATGAGGAAGGCTGATAGAAGTAGCACCAGCCACACAACCAACAGCTTCTGGAGAGTATGCGGAGCGCAAGCAGCCGGTGATCAAAGGCGTGTTGCTGTCGGTGGCAGATTGCCAGAGGGACGCCGGTGCTTCGGTGCGTGGCTTCGTCACAATTTTCCACCGCTCAACTTGGAGGCAGTGTGTCTAGTAGCGTGCTACACCTATGACGGACGGCGGACCTCACTGGGGCGTCGACGTGCGACGACCGTCTGGGATCGAAAGACGAAACCGCGTCCCAGGAGCTCGTGCAGTCTGCAGAGCGCGCTCCGGAGCTCTGTGGCGGGAAATTTGAAGGGAACGTGGTGGCTTCCCACCGCCTCTGTATGTGCCCAATAAAGTGCTAACACGACCCTCGGGCAGCAGGGGGTATGTGGCGAGCGCACGGAGGCACAGTTAGGCCGCCGTGATATCGCCCTTCCGGGCACCCCGTTTCGGTAGCCGTTTAGGGGTTAAAATCCCTGTGTGGTGGCGGCGTGCCGTTCTCCCATCCCTCCCTTGGGTTGTGTGTTTTCTTTCTTTCTTTACACACGGAATGGACTGGAAATATTTGCACGGCTGAGCCGCCTGGGCGATTATACGTAAACGCGCACGGTGGGGGGTCGGGGGGGGCGCCGCTCAGAGACGGGAGGAAAGAGAGCCAACGGGCCCACATTGGGCGCCGATGGCGCCGCGGGGCGTGGGAGGACGAGCGACGAGCAGACGGACGAGAGATGACCAGGCTCGCCCGGCCCTCACTTGATCTTCTTCTTCTTCCCCCCCGTCTCTTTCTCGTCCAGCTTGTCCTTGAGCTTGTCTGGATTGAAGAGGTCCTGCGGGCGGCGGGGCGGCGGGTGGGGGGTGAGGGGCGGCGGAGAGAGAGCAAGGCACGGCGGCTGTCTGGGAGGGTGCAGGAAGGGAGGGTGCAGGAAGGGAGGGCGCTGGGAGGGAGGGTGCGGGGAGGGAGGGTGCGGGCGGGGAGGGTGTGGGTAGGGAGGGTGCGGGGAGGGAGGGATCACCTGCCAGCCGAGCTGCGACTGCTGCGACTGCATCTCCTGTTCGCGGCAGCACACGGGGAGGTGAGAGCGGGCGCGCGGTCGGGTCCTCTCTCTCCCGCGGGCTCGGCTCCACCTGCATCTTTTTGAGCTCCTCCGGGTCCATGTTTGCCATCATCTGGGCCACAGCAAGGCAGAGGGGGGGGGGCGGGCGGTGTGCGAGGGGGGGGGGGGGGGGACTTGGATCTCCGGGTGGGCTGGGTGGATAAAATGGGTGGGCGGACCGGGGGGGGGGGGGGGGGGGCCCCCTCCGCATAAAAAAAAAAATTCCCCCCCGGAAAAAAATCATGAAGATTTTGGGGTTTTTTAGGGGCGCCAACCCCTTTAAGCCCTCCCCCTTTTCAAAAAAATGGCCCCCCCAAAAAGGAAAAAGGTTGGGCCCCCCCCCCCCGGGCGAAAGGGAAAAGGGGGGGGGCCCCCCCGGTTTTTAAAACCCCCGCCCCAATTTTTTAGGGGGGGGCTTTTTTTTTCGGGCGGGCCTTTGGGGGGAAAAACCCCCCCCCCCC